AACAGTCGAGATGGTATCAACCGCGAAAAACAAACGGTTACTGTACTCGACGACAGTATGAAATGGTGAATCTTGGCCTCTGGTCGGAGTTTGTCGGCAAATTAGATGGAAAAGAAGGTGATGCAGTCATTCTACAGAACCTCCAAGTGCGAGATTACAACGGCACAAGACAACTGTCAACAACCACAAACACAATCATCCGTGAAGCGGCAGGCGATGCCGAAGCAGAAAGGCTTCAAAAATCACAGAATCCGCATAAATCACATTAGATCACCGCGAGTTTATTTCTTCATAAGCAACACAATTATTCCGCAGATTTCCAAGAGTTTGTTGCGTAACCGGGACGTTTTCACGCCCCACCAACGGTAGTGCTTGAGCACTACCTCTTCAGGACTTTTTTCCCGAGGCCCTGTATCGCTTCAACTCGCCCGTGTTTCCCTCCGTCTTCTCGGGTTTCATTCCAAATTACGAGTCTGCTGACAGACGACCAGACTCTGATTTGATGAGCATAGAGAGGGAACTCCGAACGGATATCGCGAAGCCATGGATGAGCACCGCCTTCCCTTCCAAGAAGCTTCGTATGAGCGTCCCGGAGTGTATTGCATCGTAAATAAATCGTACGCTGCGTACTTTATGATGGACACTTCGGATACTTCCATTTGCTCAACGTAATTGCATGGACGAGATTTATGGCGGGACACAGCTCTGGTGTCTTCGTCCCTTCCCCGGGGATATTGAAGCTTGGCAAGCGAAAGAAATGCCGGCGTCTAACTTTCCCCTTAGCGATTATTCACCTGTTCACTGAGCTTATCCGATTGAATCACCTTCAATTTACCGGATGAATAATCTCCATAGTCGACGAAGATCGAGGAGCGTCTCTCGTGACGTAATCGACCCGTGAGTTTCCCGTTAGAGCAGAGGGGACACAGATTGAGAATCGAGCCAGAAAGGGAAGCGTGGTGCCGATGATGAATTTTTCATTCGGGCAGAACGCGCGAATGATTTCCGTCGGAAAGGCCGAGAGCCATACGGACATGGGACTGGAAAAGTCTGAGAGCGAGACGGAGATGGAATTCCGTTTGATGTCACCCGGCTTAATTGAACACGAGTAGTGATCGGCGGTCTTGGCGGGGGCATAGCGAGCGATGATCAACAATGGAGCTTGCCGAGCCAGGGAACGCATCGCTAGAGAGGTCGGACATGGATTCCCAGGGAGAGCGTCTGAACTTCTGGAGAATTTCGGAGCCCAAGACGACTGCCAAGCCAGCGGAATGCTTGCTCCACGTCTACGAGTCGATAAATAAGTATATCCATGCATGACGCGCGTACGGCCAAAAACCGAGGTTTAAGAATGTTGGACGGGCGTTCGAATCCTCACGGGAGGAGTTCGGGCTCGATTTTTTCGCTGACCGGGAAAGTTTACTAAACTCGCGAAGTCAGCTGTCTTTGTGAGAGACCTGGTCCCGGCTCAGCTTCATTCCCGGGAACGTAAGGACATCTATTCTTGGTTCGCTTATTCAATTCGGCCATCGATTCAATTAGCTCATTATTAGTTCGGCTGCGAGCAGCTCCATTCAACTTCGATTCCCTATGTTCCAGAGCTTCGTCTCGCATTCAACGGAGGGAACTGTTTCCATTGAGCGATCTTTTCACTGATTCGCAACACTTTCGGACATGTTCCGAGATGCCGCTAACATCCGACGAGAAATCCGACGAGCAGAAACTCTTACACAAGCTTCGTATGCGCACGAGTCGTGTGCGGGTTCAGAGTCCGGCTTCGACACAACAGAGTATCACCAGAAGATTCCCTCAGGAGAACTAATCACTTCCACGGGTCTCGAATCGATGGGGTGCTCAAGCGCGCAGAAAGCGTAGCCGCGACATCTGTCCGTTCCGTGTTCTCGGAGAGCCCCTCCCGCTTCTCGATTCGATTTCCTGAAGTCCCCTTGATCGGGAACAGCCTCGATGATCTGATGGGTGTATGTCATCTCGGAGCGAGCTCCGTCCATGGTGGAGCAGCCAGCCTCTAATTAGAGTGCCGAACCATCGTAATCCTGAGAGGTAGAAATCATGTGGGACTCAGTCAGCATGTGACATTCTGCGGATGTTCGGAGTCAAAGGCTCCAAACTCAGAGCTGAGTACCGACTACATATTCCGATGCTTCTAACTCGATACCGCGCACGACAGTCGTTGTTGGACGAGACTGCTCGAAAGTGAACCGAATTCCGATTTCATGTTTGTAGGATTTGTGAACAAGAGAGTTCTCCGTCGACTCGCGTCATCGACAGCAAAGGCTGAGTGATGCTACAGCCTGAGCAGAGCATTTTCGGGCAACTTGTATGCTCGTTCCATTGGGGCGGAAAACATGGATCAGTCTACAGGAGCAAAACACGCTGGTACATTTTGTACGTGCAGCTTGTCGGCGACAGCGTTCCCGGAAAGACTACGTCAAGCCACAGCCATCAAAGTCGACCGGAGTCTGCTTCGTCATGTTCGCTCGGAGTGCGAGGGGGAGATTTTCGCATCAGAAACCCGAGTTCGTTCCTTGTGCAGTCTTCGACGACAGGTGTCGTAGCGCATCGTCTTAGCTGGGCTGAGACCGGATGGTTCGAGAGGATTGCGCGCTTTCGACAGCTTCCCGTATCATGGGACAATCGATGAAATTGAAACTGGCCTTCGCTAATCAAAACACCTCCAACAATAACAACAGCAGCAACAATGCCGGGAACAGGAGGTTTCAAGAGAACGGAACTGTTGTTGCAGAATGGAACAGGGGGGCGTGGAATGACCGCCACACTTCGCCACAGCAACCTCGAAGAATGAGGTTTGGCATTGGTCGCGATCGCTGCCGATCCGATCGTAAAGGTCTCAGCAGAAGTCCGACAATAAGCGAACTCAAGCCTAGGCGGCATGTTCTGACGTCTGTGTCTGTGTAGATGAAGGCACCGTTGGAACGCGATCAAAAGATGAGAACGATGATATGATCACCGGATCGAGTTTGAACATAACTCCATGACTCGAGGATAAAGCGAGAATCCGGCATGGGAGGAGATCATCGTGTTTCGACGATGGGGGGTTTCCAGAGACAGAATCTCGGTGCTCAGCACACCGCAGCGGAGGCAAGGGAGCCTGCATTGGAGTATCATAGTCGGAACGTAGACTCAATCATTCGACGAAAGCCGTACTTATCTGCCGAGCTCATTCTCCCAGGCAGCTGGCGAGACCCTTGAGCCCGCATCGTAGAGGTTGATGACATGCCTGTCATCACCGAATTCCGGACTGACACATCTGCCGCGCTTTCTATAGAATCACACGGAGCCGAGTCGAGTTTGAGAAAGAAAGTCTTCCAGATAAGAGCCTCTGTGGAACAACTACGAATATCGACGGTATCGCTGATACTCTGTGTCCGACGCTCGTAGTTCCAAGGACCTTGTCGAGACACTAAAGTTTTGCGTGCGCTCGCTATTTCTGGCATTGGCGCGACTGAAATAGATCGGCCGCTCCTCTTTAGCCGCTTCCTTCATCCTCTCGGAGACGGAGATAACATTTATAATTCAATCGCTTGTTCGCTTGTCTGAATACTCGAATGGGAGGAGATAAGGGCCAGCCGATCCAACGTGTGCGACCTCCAATCGAGTGCGAGCGCTGGGTGTGGGCTTGAGCTCCGTCTATTGATGTTTAATTTGTCGCGGAGGTCCACTCCGATCTTGAATGGCTGGAGCGCCCGAGCGGCAGAGTCATGGGAAGGATTTTCACGTGAAAAACCTTGCCCAGCGGGAACCGAGATCCATACGTCCTATTTTAGATCAACGACTGAAGCATGTCAGATCGACCGTCTGGGACGAAGGCATGTCATGTCTGAGCTCCGAATAGAGGCTTCGAAATTGAGCTCATTGCTCGAATGACTTGGGAGCGAAGCGCTGTCGACTCCGGACTCCAGGACGAGACGTCGACGTTCATTGAAGAGTAGCTGCGCCTGTCAATGATTTCTTTCTCCCGCGCGGACGGATGACTCGTCCTTAGGAACATATTTGAACTGTCTACTTTCGGGCGCCTTTCAAAACTTCCATATCAGGATCCAGAACCTCTCAGGCGCTCCTAATATGTCCGGAGTCGAGGCGGCGACCGTCTACGTCGTTCCTCATGGAATATTTTTTTCACGGACAGCTGCACAGGAACCCGAAGCGGACAGGCACGTCATCAATGCATTTCCGAGAGGGTCTATTCTGGAACTATTATGGAACCGAGAAGAACCCCGATTATATCCACACAAAGAATGTCAGACACCGACTCTGTAACAGCGGGACAGGACATTGGCTTGTCCATCCTGTTCCTGAACAGCAGCTGTCGGCGAGATAGGGGCTGTCGTCTACGAGGCGACCGCTCGACGAGCGAGACCGGATCGTCACGATGATGAGAAAATCTAGAAGATCCTGTTCGAGGCAAGCTCCCGATTTCCCGATCGTCTCGCTCCGAAATCTCCCCGAATCCAAGGAGCGAAGAGGCTCCTTATCAGTGGAGACGATTCGTGATCCCGATTCCATGGTCGGAGATTACGATGAGTTATTCGAATCGATCAGCTTGGCTCGTCAGTCTTGACGATGCAAGGGTAGGCGCATAGTCAGCCATGACCCGTGACGCACGAAATCCCCGCAGACATGAGAGATCCGGGCCGCGACGGAGTATGATCCACGTATGCCGCTCGAAGTTCCTCCCCCGAGGGTCCCGAGTCGATTAAGGCGCACGCGCCTTCATTGGAAGAGCGTTCTCCGCCGAGTCGACTACTGCGTTTGGGGCTTACCTCCTCTGGACGAAGCAGGCGCTATGATATCCGCAACCCCGAGATTTTTCAGAGCTGCGTTGAAGATCGAGTTCATGGCGATTCCGAGCCACAGCTGATCCGACCGAACAACTCGCTATTCCATTGTGGAAAAAACTACACTTGTACAGATGGACACGACATTCGAATGACAACAGAACACTGCTGCAGGTGCGCTCAGACTGGAGAGAGTAGGATCGAGGGTAAGGGGTTCGACGGAGCGGAGGGTTTGTAGCAAAGGGAATCTCTCGTTGTTGATGTCATCGGAGGTGCTATCATCTTCGAGGATTCGGACTCGATGCGCTCATGAGTCGAATTCGGATCGAGCCGGACTGAATTGGGTCTGACTGACCGCAAAACTAATTATAAGACGCAGAAGCCGTTGCTAATCCGGGGCATGGGGCGATGGGAAGCGCCGCTCGACTTTCCGCGAAGGGATGTCGAAAGACGAGCAGAGGCGCCTCATATGGTCGAACGTCTACTCCACTGACTTAGATTATTGCATTACTTCGCTTTCGGCTGTCGCGAGCCCCGTCTGTGGATGACATCAAGCCAGAACAGTTGACTACCTAATAATGACAAACTTACTTCGTTTCAAAGAGACCGCTTGGAGCACCGCGGTGACCATCAGGAAATGCTGTCGGCGTCTTGTCTTGAGCCGTTCTCTTTGACGCAGCAGCTGGAGCAGCTGTCCGTTGAGTTTCTGCACTGCTTCGTGCTGCTGTGACACGAGTTTGGTGAGGGCGCCGATTTCTGTAATAGAAATTCTGATGGAAATCTCGAGACACCTCTGCTAAGGCTTCATTGGTGGATTTCTCAAGCGATGCACGTATGCCGATGAGGTGCATCGAGCGTCCTCATATTCACATTATTTCACGTTCAAGGGGATAGCGGCTCGATATTCCCAACGAGGTACCATATTCGATCTCGCCTATGTACTTTCAGAGCGGCCTCCTTCTACTTCCTGCTCGGGGCGAATAAATCTGGTTTCGAGCCCGAGCGGCGGCTGGATGATTTTGGTATAAATTCCCACCCGATATTAGTTTTGCGAGGTCTGACTAGGTCTCATAGAAGGTCGGAGTCGAGGGCTGTAGTTTTATTTCGTCGTCGTGGCCTCCAACCTCTATGAGCCCGGAGCGAGTTTCCGGTCACCGAGCTCATTTTCTCGACAACAGAGCGCAGTGAGCCAGTCCGCAGAATTCGCCTGTCGAATTCCGAGGGTTCGCCCGAGCTTACGGGAAGAAAAATGACTCCTCCATCCGAATATTGAGGAGCCGAATAGGGGGGGGGGGGTTTCTCTCTGAATTTTCTCTCGTGTCCTCCGACGGATGGGGTAGTCAGCGAATGACTGCTGATAACGTTCCTCTCCCTCGATATGCAGAACTTTCGTGATTCAGACCCTCTGGTATCATCAGCCCGCCGGATTCGCAATCCTCGGCATCGGATCCGCAGGGATTTGAGCGCTTGAAAGGCTCCACCGTGACCAAAAGGTCGGCGGGTCGACCGCAGCCGCTCAGACTGCGTCGGCTATGGTGGAAGGATTCGAGAGCCGAGTCCTCGCTCCTCCGAAATCTCTACGGGCAGACTCGGAGTCAGATGTTCGGCCCCGCGCATGCGCCGATCTTCGTATTCCCGTTCGATGAAAGACTTTCCGACATTTTCTGTTTGTCCTCTGACAACATTGCGCGCCTTCGACTCGGAGAGTTTCTGGATGCGGCCCGGCGTCTCTGAACACTGCGTGCGGTTGCGACGTTCCGGAGTACACAGAGCAATGATCCCTGTTTCCAAGATGGCGTCCTCCATTGAAAAGATCACGAGCTACGGAGAGCAGCAGAGAGAGAGGGGGGCTCCACAAACACTTTTTGTATGAGATCGCGAAAACCTGCGCGTGCTCCGGAGGAACCCGAAGGGAAAATTCAAGCAAATGTTCATCCTCAACATTTGACCGATGGAAGAGATTGTGCCTGAGGTCCAGATAGCGACAAACCAGGCATTCTACGGCACGAGTGGGACCTGGAGCCGAGCAGGTGGTAGAGCTCCGATATTCGAATGGTATGACGTGGAGCTGCCGCTGCCAGGAGATGGGAACTTCAGGAGTACATGCAAGATCTGCAAAACGAGCATATCGGCTTCCAGGAGAGCCACCTCCAATCTCATTTCCCACATGAAGGTGAGTTGAAATTCGAAAACTATTCAGTGATCGAGACGAGATCCGAAATTAAGCATCAATCTCACCCCGGTAAACTCTCTTGTCGCAGAGGAAGCATCCTGGAGTTTATGCCGACAACATAAGTCAGCAGCGGTACATCAAAACAGAACGCACAGTTCACGGTGTTTCGGTGGCGGACATTCTACCGGACTCGAACGAAGGCTCGTCGGTCGACGTGCTCCACTCGAGAGCGGTCGGCGCCTTAGTCAACTTCATGTCCAACTCTTTAATCGATCCGAAATTCTTGGATTCACCCGATTTCCGACAGTTCACACATTGTCTGAACTCGACCTTCGAGCCGCCGTCGAGCTTGCACGTAACGTTTAGTTACCTCCCGTCGAAGCGGTGGGCTCTGCAGCAAAGGTGAGTTCCGTCCTCCGAGAGAGGTTCCTGACCAACCGCTCCCGGAGAATGCTCCGAACGTTTCGAGCCCTGGTCTGCGGCGCGGCGTGGTGTGTTTAAGCACAGTCCCGGTTTTCAGGATATCCCAATGGCTGCAGGAAGCCGAATCGGTGGCTATAACGCAGGACATCTGGATAAGTCGCTCCCAGCAGAGCGTCCTCTGCCTATCCGCACATTTCATACACGATTGGAGCCTGAGAATGGTGTTCCTCGCGTCGAAGCATTTCAGTCTGCCGGATATCAAAGCGAGTGTCACGGATCTTTTCGAAGACACAATCTCCTACTATAATCTATCGCAGAAAATCTCCCACACGTCGACCAACAATGCTTCGAAGCTCATCAAATCGGCACGGACATCACTTCCGGGTTTCATCATGGAAGACTACGATGCGATCGAGGCCCCGTCCGCACTGCAGGAGTGCAGCTCTTCGATCGACCTCAAAGATTTGAATTCCGTATTCCTCGACGACTTGGGATGTTTCGCCGAAGCTCTGGAGACCTGCGTGACTTTCGCCACCAAGGACAACGCGTTTCTTGAAGCGGTTCTCTCGAAAATCAGCACAGTTGTCGATTACATTCGGAACGCGGTGTTCCCCAGTCCAGCCCTAGACGAACTTCGGAATATCTTGGAGCGTGGTTACTCGACTTGGAATTTGCAGCTGCGCATCATCCGAGCAATCGTGGCGAACACGACCCACGAGCGCCTACAGACTGCTCTGTCTGGAATCAAGACGCTCACTCATGAAGATTACGCCGTCCTCACCGAACTCGTCGACATACTGGAGCCTTTCGAGGAGGCGTACAACCTTTTCAGAGACGGACACAAGGTGACCGCGAGTTACGTCATACCGTGCATACGTGGACTCAAAATGCATTTGCAAAACGTCAAAGTCGTTCATCTCGTACCAGTGATCGAGAAACTCAGTCAATATATTTATACGAATTTCGCCAAATACGAGGTCAACGACACGTACGCTTTGTGCTCGATACTAGACCCACGTTTCAAGCTCGCCTGGTGTCCGGAGGACAGACAGTGCGGGCTGATCACTCTGCTGTGTAAGAAAGCTTCGGAACAAAGGATCCCGGAACCGATTTCCATTTCAACGTCGATGGCACTGCCTGGTGAGGAACGAAAGTCAAAGCTTTTCCAATTCATGAACCCGCAGTTGAATCGCAGGTCCAACTCGGTTCACTCGGTCGAAGTCGGGAGCTATCTCGCGATGCCCTGCGTTCCGGATTGTGTCAATTATTGCCCGTTGGATTTCTGGCGTCAGAACAAAAGTCAATTTCCCTCATTATGCCAACTAGCTCGCTCGATGATGAATTTACCCGCCGCGTCGAGTCACGTACTCCACATGGCCAAAGTGTGCGACCGTGTGATAGACTTGACCGACCTCAAACTGAACCAGATTACCTTCGAATCGCTTATGTTTGTTAAAATCAACCGTGCCGGACTCCAATAGGTAGCACGTTCTCATGTATCTAAGTAATCGCGTTCAATCTTCCCTGTAGTGCATTGATGAGAAATGACGGTACAAACGAGCAATAAAGCTCATTCCCCTGGTCGAATCGGGACGACGGTCTTCATTGACCGATCCACGGAGGAATCCATCCCAAATGAGGAGCGTTCTTCAAATACATATGCGATTAAATTCAAGTTCATAGCGCCGATCAGGCACTCGCCAGAGTGAATGGTCTGCAAACTTCCAGAATCAACGAGAAGCTAACCACCTTGAGGGATCATGTCATCCGTTGACAGTTCTCGCCTGTAGGATCCCGGATCTGAGCCCTCTGAGCCTCTCGATGGGTGAATCTTCCGAGTGTATTCGTCGAGGTTCAAAAATGGAAAATGCCTTCATCATGCAAGGTCTGGGACATACGTCGTCATATTGTCTGCTCGCGCGGCAGCTGCATTGATAGTTCGCTTGCGTCAGGCGCTACACGAGAACTTCGCATGAGGGGAATTCGGACACATTTCTCATGTTCTCGCAATCTCGTTCGAGAAAAAAAAACGCAATTCGCAAAAGTAACGAGCGGGGATATACTGCCCGCCAATGTCTCAGAAAAAAATCTCAATGCGTCGGCAACAATATTGCTCGAGTCCAACCTCTGGCGGAATCCGGGCGGAATCGCTTTCTACCGTGTCATGCTTTTTGACCACATTCCGAAAGCAGTACCGAATCACTGAGAACTTCTCTTGCTCGCTCCTGAAGCCACATTGAATTTAGCGTACCTTTTGCAGCGATTTGGGCGCGTGTCAAGCGCTGGAACACGACTTCGAGATGGGACAATGACGACGAGTAGGAAGACGTAGAACCATTATCGCTGTCCCAGCTAGAGAATCTCCTCTTTGGTCCGAGATGATCGTTAATGTCGTGCAAGAGTTGATCGACGATGGCCAAGGATCCACGGCGTCCCAGGCGGGGTTCCGATGAGGATCTAATACTTCTCAAAATCCGCCTCTCTCCCGAGTTATGGAAGCTGGCGATTGGAATTGGTGGTTTATTCGTTGGAATTGTCTTGGCTTCAACTTTGACGTTTATCGGCTCCTCGTCGAAGAGATCCGCAATCGAGACGAGCTCCTCGGAGCTTTGTTTGCGAAAAATTTTCTTGCTCTGTGGGTTTTCGAGCTGGAGCTCGTACGTGAGATAGCTGTCGTCCGGATCGTAGTTCGTACAGCGACTCAAAGATCGGAAGCAATCCTCGTCTGATGAGTTCAAGCTCACACTGAAGAGATCCGGAGGCTCCCTCGGAGCCGTACAGTCCTCGGCACCGCACTTCACCATCACGCAGGCTGCAGACGACACAATTGTCAATTTCGTCCGAGCCATCGGCACATGTGCTCACGGAGGGAACGACAGCCTCTTTACGGCGCATGCGCTCGATTTACCACCTGTCCTACTCGGAGCGAAAGACGGCGTTGGCCCTAGAGAAAGGTCTTCATCGCTCTCTCGAGCAGCATCGAGATTCTATTGTTCTCTTTCTGAATCGATATCGGGATCACTGACGCCCGATTGAGAGGGATTCGACTCCTCTGAAACGCGTTTCCACTCCCGCCGGCAACGATCGATGTTTCTCGAACGCGAAATCAGCTTCTGCATTTCCGCAATTGAGCCGCTCGAGTTTTCGATCGATCCTGGACCGAAGTTCTCACGCATCCTCCCCGATCACCAAGACGGTGATCGACCCGCGGCTTGGTTTACGTGGAAGAGGAATCGCCCAGCTCCCCTTGATCAGACTTCCCTTCCACCGGCGACCCTTAACGATGATGGGAAGGGAGTTCCAATTCAACTTCGAAATCCTTTGTAGCTTGCGTGACGTCCGCGATTGCGAGTCGCGATTTCTTTACAGGATGGAGAGTGAGGTGTCTGGGCGTTGAACCTTCACCGCGGAGAGGCGCTTGACACAATAGTCCTTCTCTTGTATTTTGTCTTGCCGACATTTCTTTGCGGCTTCGGTCAGCCTCGAGGCGGGCCATGGGAACGGGTACACAGGAGCCGTGACCCGCTCTCTTTCACGGTTTTCGTCGGAGATGCCGTCTCATCTTCCTCACGAGACATTCTGGAATTCATCGCTGAGGGAGAATTCGGCGTACCATCGTTCATTTTCAATAATTGTAATGAAGCACTCCTCAACTGAATTCCTGACGATGAGCGCTCTATGGATATTCGATGGCGAGCGAATACGAAGGGAATGTGGAGCGGCTGACGGTAGAGCTTGGGCTGGAGGCGTCGCATTGGTTCAGGCGGGCTAATCAGCATAAAACCCCGACTCTCCTCCCTATCAATCCGATCGGGTCTGTATTGAATTCTAGAACGAAGCTTGTCCATGTACTCTGATTTGTTGGGCCCTCGATAATTATGGACTGGAAGACATTGCTCCTTGTGGTGGGGCTTGGACTGTGTCTCTGCTTCGAGTAAGCTAGCTCTCTCATTCTCTGTAAAGAGCACGAATCAAGAATTCATCAACCGCTCATTCTCTGGAGACAGTTCCCCGCCTCAGATCTGCGGGGCGAGCGTTCGGGACTCCCGAGAACTTCGGATCGAGGTGTTCCAAAGGTAGGATTACTCAGGTTGGTGATCGACGGGTCGCGCAAGCTCTGCGATTTGAGTCGGAGGGGAGCTAATGGTCGTCGGAAACGCGTCCGCAGCATTCCACGACGGCGGCGTCTCAGTTTATTCCGGAATAGAGCTCGCACAGAGATCAAAACGCCAAGTACTGTCACGCATCCATTCCGTGATGGGATTGACTAGGCAGCCCTTTGTTCGTATCTTCCACTTTCACCCATCTTTATTCAGCCGCGGCCCCAAGCTTTTCTATCCAGATCAGGGTTGGGTTCCTGGGTACCCGCTACAGGACGTATCGCAGAATTGATCGAAGCCGGTCGCGACCTAAGGTCACTGGGCCGGATTGGAATGCGGTGTATTTACGGACATGTTTCTGCCGGAAAACAAAAATCTGAATCTGATGCTTCCCTCAGCCCGAACAGGGCTGACTCATTCCGGAGAAACGGGAATCGCTTGAATAAAGAAGAGCTTATCTGAAAATATGCATGTCTCTGCTGGATCTTTAGAAAGTTGGAATGTAGTGCCCCTGGAGAGCGGAGAAGTGCAGGAGAAGTAGTTCTCCTCGGAGCTTGACACTTCTTCTTGTGATGGGAAGATCGGTGAGGGTTTTATCCGAATCCTCCGAGCCCCGTTTGTAGGGTTCCAAAATTAACTTCCGAAGATCGCAGAAGCAGCTTAGGCCATCTTCCAAAGTGGAATAGGTCTCCTTGATGATTCTGACTCAGATAAATGGGAACGGCACCACAGTCTAAAACGGCTACCTAGTTGAGGAAGACACAGCATCAGCCAGACCGGGAGGACCTCCGACGTCTTCCGCTTTCGTAATATTCCGCCGAACTCCACGGGAAGCTCTCCGCGGTCGATACACATCCGGGCGGATGGGCTCCATAGACTTTCGGGCATCGCAAATGATTTCTCTTTCTTGGTGAGAAACTTCTCCGCATTTAGGGCCAGTAACATTTACAGTGGAGCCATGATCCGAGCACAAGGTCACTCCATGTCCAGATGCGATGAGGGAGGGGAACGCACGCCCAACACCAGTCTCGGAAAACGACGCCGAAACGATGCACAGAGAAATTGGAGAACACCGAATGTTTGGATAATTCTCCGCGTCACGCATTCGTAACCCTTCGAGCTGCCAGAAGTCAGAGCGATGACCTGCTGTAAATGCCGGGAAATTATCATCATCAGAATGGAGCGAAGAGATCGAAAGCACTCGAACAAAGGGAAGATCATTTTGTTCGAGGCCCCGTACACAATCGGTCGCTCCGTAGGCGATTATAAACAATGCATCGAGCTCGAGAGTAGCGGCACCGACGGATCGCGGCCGTCCGGATAAGTCCAGGATCGATTCCGCAAAGAATCGAGTCCGTGCTCCAGGTCTCGATGAGCCCGTCAGGCGAGGTCTTCATTCGTCAAGCGGCAGCTAAGGGCAATTCACCGCTCAGCACTGTCGAGAAGGAATCTATTGGAATCAGGACCTTGGTACTGAGAATTACGAGGATTTACTAAGATGAGGAAAGACACGTGCGTCAACCGTCGTCGACGAAATTGAAGTGGCCGTTTTTATTGTCTGCTCATGCTTCGGTTGAAGGATGACGACAGTGTTTCTGATCAGGCGCACAGGCGCAATTATGGAGAGCAGGCGCAGAACGCTAACAGAGTCGCTGCCGCATGGGTTCTCCACTGGAAGCGATTCTGCATGATGAATGCTCAAGGACCAAACTTTCTGTGACGAAGGAGATCTTTACGATCAGTAGCATCAACTTAACGGTCGCGGGCGGATATTCATTCGAGTTTCTTCTGCTCAAGTTCGCTTACTTTAGAAGAATCACCGATACAGCGAGCTCGCGCGAAAAAATGCATCTGGGTCTGCGCGTCTAGCACTTATTAGATGCAGGGAGTCCGGTGAGGATTAGGCGACCTCGGCCAATCTGTCTCTCACTCGACCTACTCACTGCTGAGTACGGACCGCTGGAGCGCCCCCTGCGTTCCTCCGAAATTCCGCACGTTCGATGAACTTCGGGCATGAAGTTTTGCGGTGGGGCGAGCAAAAAAATAAGAGTCGTTGGGAGGATCCCTGGCGTGACATGAAAAGCGGGGATGAAATACTCGAGAAGGGGTACCATTCTCGGTATCTTCTAAGGTGAAGGATGCAGTTCTGCTTTGCGTCCTGACGGCGGACGATTATCGATCCTCGTGTTGTCCCATTTCTCCAACAGAATTTCCTTGTTAGCTACCGTCTCCGCGGACACTGAGCTTTCTTCGTGTTCTCGCAGTCTTTTCTGCGCTTGATACTCGCGCAGGAGTCACAATCGTTTGACGGTATTCGATGCCTCAAAAACATACGCTTACTTTCTATATCGAGTACATGTTGAGTTTAAGGGGGCATTCTTAGTGTACTCGAAGACCTGAGCTCTTGGGGGGCTCGTGGAGGTCAAGGTCGGGTTCCTCGATCTCATCGAGCACTCGCGAACTTGGCGCCTTTCTGATTTCGAGCAGACGACGCGTGATTACTGACACTGACTACGAGAGTGGACAATAGCAGCGGAGGCCTCCATTCTTCTGTTTTCACTCTTTCCGCAGGAATGGTGAGAGAGAAAACCGGAGCAAGGAATGGATGGAAACGACTGTAAACAAACGACAGCACGAGAATTCGGAAGAGAGTACGATTCCGCTTGATTAGCGCCGGGGACTCCTATGCTGGTCGGCTCCGAGGTCGCATGTGGTGGGCCTGCAGGACTTGATACTCGGTTCGGTGTGTGTTCCTACTTCGTATGGAGTCGAGTGTTTCGAATGGGGAGCTGCCTCTGATTCCCGGGATGGGAGGTAAATCGATCTCGCATGTCGCGGAAACAGTCCGTCAGTGCCGTTATGCTATTTATTTCTTCCTGTGATCATGCGATCCGGAGGAACAGAATTAATGAAGCTTGCCGTCTCGTCCACATTCAGAGACTACGAGTCCGATTTCCTTCAGGTGACGGCGATTCGCGGAAGACTGTACAGTTTTTCAATAAGTCCGCCGAAGCGAACCGCCTGACAATAGAGTGGTTCGTCAACCACAATGCCGTTTGCTGCATTTGCCGTAGAGCACTTGACGCGTACGAGACCAAGGATCTCCACAAGCACCCTCGATTGCAAGTGATCATTTGCTCCGTAAGTGAAGCTCGTCTCTGCCGAGCTCGTCTCTAGTTTTCTCTGAAGAATTTCCGTTAAGACTTTCATCGAGATCGGCGTTTACATTTGTCCAAACCGCAGGAATGTTTCCCGGAGGGAGGAGAGGAGTCGTCCAATGGTCGGAGTTGTATCTGGTGCTGCCATGAAACGTCGAGGCAACAGGTTGGCGGAGACGCATCGCGCTCGAGGATTTGTCGCACAGCGGAGTGTACCAATACAATATGTGATAGATGCCTCCGCGGTAACTTCACGAAGACTCAAGTCGAAGAAATGCTCGTCGAGTGGAAATGCTTCGAATGTGATCCAAGCATCATTGAGGTAAATGTCGAGTAATCCAGACCGAGAACCGCGATCAGCAAATTGGCATCTGCTTGTTAAGATACGGGGTGATAAGCCCGTCATCGATCTCGAACATTTCCAGCCTCATCGTCTGTACGCAGACTGTTTATTGGAATTCGCTCGGACGTTCAGAAAACCCGTGATCCCGAGTCAACGTTCGAGAGCTGTCCCAACAGGGGACTTGCGCACGCGATTCCTCAGTAGCATACGAGATCTCCTGAATCACGTGAAAGAAGACCTACCTCGAAATGATTTATTCACGGCAAATCTAGAGGTGAGTTAGACTTGATATCGGAGTCTGCCTCCCGTGAACCGGCAGTTTAGCCCTTCCTACCGTCGAGTGACATTCCCGATCATATTGATATATTGAGGTACCTTCAAGATCAGGGGAATGTCAGAATAGCCTCTAGATATTCACAGTTCCCCATTTCCGCAGGATCATATAAAATTGGCGCAGAGTCTCCGAACAGAGCTGAGTAGACCACAGATCAGTTTCATCAAACAAGAGCCAGAAGCGACCACCAGGATCATTGAGCCGCGCGAAACTCAGTATGTACATTAGACCCGGGAACTTCTCTTCTCATCGCGTGGTGAACGTTTGTTCCCGCAATCAAGAATCGATACTCTCTCTTCAGGTCAGCCGACCCTGCCCCTCCGGAAATCAGGAACGACATTGGATGCTCTGGGATGGCGATGAAGTCTGAAGTGTTGGAGGATCCGGATGAGCATGAGCAGATTGAGTCCCTGTCTTCCGAAGAAGAGATGCTTGGAAGAAGTGAGTTCCCCGCCGTGTTCGGAATTCAGATCGAATCGTCTCATATTACGTCTCTGCACTACAAAGTTGTTATGTAATCAGGATATTTCATCAATTCCGCAAATTCTTCCCTCTAGTCACCGTCAAACGAGATCCTGAGGCCACGCAGCCTCTGCCCAGGACCAGACGCGCCAGTAGTGACGCAGATTCGAATGAAACCTTACGGCTCGACAACGATTTGTCTAGCAATGGCAAGTCCGCTGCCACAGCTGACGACGATGAGCTGAGCCGCCTGCTTGGGGACGTCAACCGAAGACACTGGAACGGAAAGGACCCTGGTGAATATCTGTTCGATCCCACCTTTCGGTGATACTCGCCTGATTCAAGCGTTTCCTCTACCCTCCAGCCCGTTTCCGGACCATTCCGATGTTAAGAATCTCTTCTACAGGTATCGCGAACGCTCAAGCGAAGAAAGCGCCTGCCCGCAAAGAGAAAAAAACCGAGCAACCCTTCCTATCGTCGGATGACGAGAGCATTGTCTCCGCGAGTGACGACGAACTCAATCCCTCTTGTTCACAAGACGACGGTGCACTCACCGTTCCATCTGACGATGAAGCTGTCGCCGGAAGCAGTCCTCGGGACGAAGACAACGATGATAACGAGGAAGACTTCTTCAATCCAAAGGAACGCAGCAAGTTGGACACGTCGTCCGGGGAAGAGTCCGCGGAAGAGACCCCGGAAAAGTCAAGCGAGGCTAAAGCCTCGAAGAAGGTCGACGAGGGCGTTGAAAAGCCCGAAGATAAAACTGCGAAGGAGCCTCGGCGCCGAAAGAGCTTGCCGGCGATTCCGTCCGTATCTACAAGCGAGCCTAAAACCGCAGAGAAGAAAAAGATTGGAAGAAGCAAGAAGTCTGGGAACAAGGTGAGTCTGATGATGGACCCGTCGCACATTCCGGAACTCAAGCTCCGGAACCTCTCCGATATCTGCGTTTTATTCCCCGAGAATTTCCCCGAATCTAGAGAGATTGTTTTCGCCGCCCCTCTTGCGAATTTCCTACTTCTGAATGTATCGAGGCACCAGATTAAAGCGAATGAACTCCCGCGTCTCAATCATTCCCGCTCCCATCAGCCATGAGTCGGGGGATTACGCATTTGAGTTTTTCAAAAGGTCAGCGGTGACAGGATATCGATGACGAGGAGGTCGTCTCCGAATTTCAGCGGGAGCTGTCGTCGGACAGTGAGTCCGAAATCGAGCTGCATAGTGATCTGGAGAGCGCTGACATGGAGGAGGTGCAACCGGCCGACGAGCTTGACCAGTCGCGAAAGGAGTCTGATAGGCCAGCAAAGAAGAAACAAAGAGTCGTTTCGCTCGTGTCCGACGATTCGGAATCGGACGCGGATGCCAAGGAGAAAAGCAATGATCCTAGTCCAAAGAAATTCACAAAGCAGAACGTCAAGGTTGGTGTCCTCGAGTCCTCGTCATTGCGAAATCAATCGAGCTCCGACTCGGAGTATTCGAGCTCGCCGCTGAACGCAGCTGAAATCGGGCCCGTGTTCCAGATACTCGAATCTTCCGCGACGGCTGGAAAGGATACGTGCCACATCATATCCAGTGACGATGAGGATTTCGTCCAGCCCATTCATCCGGTTCCAGTCAAAACCGAAAGTGGAACCCACGTGGGGAGGAAGAACATCAAAGAGCTCCTGACCGGTTCCCAATTAAGCAAGGTCACGATCGAAGCGAACAAGCGGGAAAAAGAACGAACCAGGCGCATCGAGGAGATGCAGAGAAAATATAATGACTTTGCGAAGAAGGGGGGCGATGAAGGAGAAGATGTCCAATGCATTCTGGAGTTTGACCTTGCCACGAAAGAGCCCCTGGTCCAAGTTCATCCCCAATTGAGCAGGAGAATGAAGAGCCATCAAGTGGAAGGCGTGAAATTTCTCTACACGAATTTGGTGGAAACTATTGCCAAGCTACGAGAGAAGTCACCGGGGACTGGAGCTATACTAGGGCACTGCATGGGTAAGTTCCGGTTACGAGTCGTCGCATTTTCCGATCGAGACGCGGTATTCCCCTATTGTTGCGGGATCTGTGACACCTAATCTACATATGTACCTACCTTTCCTGAGCGGGTGCACATAAATGTTCCCCAGGTCTGGGGAAAACCTTCCAAGTTGTCTGTTTCCTACATACTCTCATGACGCACAAGGATCTGAGAGGGTATTTCAAGACTGTCCTCGTCATCTCCCCGCTCAATGTCATTGCAACATGGCAAGAGGAAATATCGCGTTGGGTAGATCGAGATCCGAAAATCACCGAGAAACTGAAGGTGAGTCCGCGTGGACGAATCGCAGACGAGGCCTCGTGGTCGTTTCATTCTCTCATCGGTCACCATTCGGATCACTCTCGTCACTGCTCGTTCGGAATTTCAGCAATTCAGTCTCCATAACGAGAGCAACCAACGATTGCGCGCAGCAATGCTGAGCAAATGGCAGCGCAGCGGTGGCATCATGCTGATGACGCCGAGCCTCCTCGTCAGTTTGCTAGGCCGGGAAACCGATGCAGGGAAGAACAAACGGACGAAAAACAAGCAACCACTGGACCCCGAGCTCAGGAAACAATTCCTTGCCCATCTCTGTAAGTGGACTCCCCGTCTCTTTGCCCTCATACGAATTTTTATCGAGGACGCGCTGGAGTATGTTTGGTAAGAGAGCACTGCTGATAATTAACACATTTTTCCCCTCAGGCTTACCGGGGCCGAACCTGTTGATCGTTGATGAAGGCCACACCCTGAAGAGGAGTTCCACTCAACTCACTCAGATTGTTGATACGATGATCAAAACCACGAGGAAGATCCTCCTCACTGGGACACCCTTGCAAAATAATCTTACCGAATATTATACCATGGTTTCGATTGTGTCGCCACACCTTCTCGGCACCAAAGCCGAATACCGGAACCGCTTCGAGAACCCCATTACGAATGGCCAGTATAAGAACTCGACCGCCTCCGACATAAGGAAGATGCGTCAACGGGCCAGCGTTCTGAAGAAGCTTCTCGAGAACGTGGTCCACAGGTAATCAGCCTCGATCAAACCTTAGGGTGAATCTATTTGATGCCCCCTCTGACTGTGACTCACTAAAGTGCCATTTCTCCACCAGGAGAGACCTGTCAGTGCTGCAGAGCATTTTGCCGCCGCGGCACGATTACGTGATCACAATCAGGCTTTCAAAAATGCAGGAACTTCTCTACGAAAAGTTCCTTGGACTCCTCGTGTCGAAATCAGGAGAGCAAGGATCCGAACCGTCGCTGAGGAGGCTGCTGCAAGATTTTGTGCTGCTTCGCTCAGTTTGGACGCATCCCAAGCTCCTGACCATGCCGAAGAAAACTCTCCAGAGGGAAAGAGTACGATATGATTTTTTTCAATTGGATGAACGATTCATTAGAAAAATACTCTTCCCTGCTGTACGGCTTGGCTTCGTCTCCTCATCGGGAAAATCTGATTCCATTCCAGAAAAACGCTACCGTAGCCGACATGCTGACTTTCGACGCGATAGCACCGGAGCCCAATTCGGAGATTATCAACAAAGACTGGTTCAAGCCCTTTGTTGAAGGGAAAAACGTGGATGACATCACGTTGGGACCGAAGATCTTCGTACTCTGCGACATCATTCAGAACTGCCACATGATAGGCGATAAATTGGTCGTGTTCTGCACTCAGCTCAGCGCCTTGGATCTCGTAGAGTTTCTGCTGCGCATCATGAACGACAACCACATCGGGGAGGGTCGCTGGTCGAAGGATATCGACTACTTCCGGATGGACGGTTCCACAAGTGCCGAAGACAGGCATCGCTTCTTCAAAATTTTCAACGACCCAAAGAACACCCGAGCCCGTCTGTTCCTGGTGAGCACCAATGCCGGAAAACTCGGCTCCACGCTCGTGGGCGCGAACCGGATGGTTCTATTGGATACTAGCTGGAATCCAGCTGACGACAATCAAGCGGTCTATCGGATCTATCGAATCGGGCAGAGCAAGCCAGTGTACATATACAGGTTCGTGTCGTTCGGGACCATGGAGGAGAAAATCTACGCGAGGAATATTCTGAAAGAAAGTCAAAGCTGCCGGGTATTGGACGATTCGAATATGGAGAGGCATTTCACCCACGAAGACGTTCGGGACCTTTACACCTTCACTCCTTACAATGAAGCCAATCGGAAAACGCCCTCCGTTCCCGAAGACATGATGTTGGCGGAGCTGATTCTCCGGCATCCAGATCTCATTGCGAACGTCCACAAGCATCAGCAGATGCTGCAGAACCTCGAGGATGACATGTCAGAGGAAGATCGCCGGATCGCTTGGGACGAATACCAGCGAGAGAAAGAAGAGCCCCCGCCACAGCCGACGGCGCCTACCCCCTCCCCGATGCTGGCGAATCTTGCCGAAATTAATAATGCGAGCAACGTCGAGAGAACGGTTCTCTATTTCCACGAATACTGGCGGAGAGATGGCGTTACCGACAAAGACCGACTGAGAACCGCGGCGCCTTTCCGCAACGCCGTGGGGAGCAGTCTTCACGAGTCCGAGCGGCGGGCAACGGAGCTCAATCGGACGTTGGTGGACGTGCTCAAAAGGCAGAGTCAAGGCCAGGATGTCTCCGAACTTTCTTCTTTAGTGAAAATCGCTCGGGATCGCCAGGAAAGGATGAAGAAGCTGCGAGAACTACTGCAAAACGTAGGTTTCGATGATAAAAGATGGCGCCACGAGACGCGCGCTTCAGCGATTATCGCTGTCGATTTGTTCCTGACCTTTCGAGTTTCCTTGCAGATCGATCAATTCGTGGCTCGCAGCACTCAGACCCTCATTCCACGAGACGCACATTGACCCCAGCGCTGTCGGAAGTATTGTACAGTCCTGTGAGCCACTTTCGGAATGCGGATATTTGTGGATGAAGTTGAAATTGTTGTAAATAAATTAAGAAACCCTGGTGGGCATAGGGACTCCTTCAAAAAAAAAGTACGAGACTATGTGACTTTTCCCGACAAAGATTGAAACAGCCACCCTCCCCATCGTCCTCTTTTCCCATGTCGGGACTCGTGTCCTACTCAAATCGTCGGGGTTGTGAGCTCGACCGCCCGAAGTACCCCGGGAACCTCATGACGTGCTCTCGGGAGACGTCGACCCCGTCAAAATCAGGCATGAAAGAGGATCTTTCCCATCGGGATCGGCTCTAAGGTTGAAGCATTTGCTTCTACAGGATCCGGGAGACGGATTCGCCATGCGGCAGCGAATATCACCGGAGCCGAATATGCATTCCATGATCTTGAGAAGTATCCCGCGTCGATCGAAATACAGTTTGTGCGCTGACATTGTGGCTCGGCGACGAACGTCGCCAGGATGCCGAGCTGAGCGATCCCATCGCACGCGGATCGACCACCCATCGATTCTTGAGCCAATCACGGGCCGGAGCGAGTTATAAGATTAGAAACTTTATTTTATTCGACAATCGTTCCAAGCTTGATATCCAGGTACAGTCACGACGTTCAACCGACGAAACAGGATCGGTATTTGTTAACTTCAATTGTATGATAACCGTGACATAATCGTGACGCGCACATGCACACCTGTCGGTTTCCACTCCTTGACAGAATGATCAAATAATGAAAATTTCCGATTTGAAATCCATTCGATTGCCATCTCTTGTCGAGTATATAACATGGAGAATTTACAAATGGCACAATTGCTCACTGCACAAATCATACACACTATATGTTGATGCAAGGTACGATGGAGATAAAATATTCGAGGCTTCTAAAATCCACATGTAGAGTCGATCAGCATTGGCTGTCCGACCGACTTAGCGTAGCGACCAGCTTGCGGGCAAGTATAGACTCGGAAAAGCACAACCATCATGGGGTCTTGGTCGAGATGAACGGCCACGAGAACGGTCAGAAACAGACTAGACTATACATGCCATCCGTAGCGGTCTGCTTGTACGCTTCCTTTCATCCAATCCACTGGCTGCCATGCGATCCATAAATAGGTTGCTGCTGATGGGGCGAGTGAAGCATCATGGCAGAGGGTGATCTCGGCGAACTCTGACTTATGGGTCCTCCAAGAGAATGTTGTGACAGCAGCGACGGTGGGCTCTCGACTGGAATCGGAAAATCGATGATTACGCTTGGAGCGAAAAAAAATTTCACCTGCCTCCGATCCTCGATGAAAAAGGAAGGTATTGGGAAGCATTGAACCAGCACTCTATCATTAATTCATTCATCTAGCCCTGAACTCTGTCATTATGTTGATCTAATTCTCTGGTAATGAGACCAAAGTTATTCTTATGATGAATCAAAGTTGAATGACTCATTCATTCATTAACCTAATTTTCCTTTTTAATAAATGGAATGTCATTCATTCATTTCGTAAACTGCCCGCGGATGACCCCGCGGACACGGAACGTACCGGATAGAGGCTGATGAGATGGCTGATTTGTCCGTTTTATTAATAGAGTCACAGTGTTTCCGCCTTGTCGAATCAAGTTGATCGCCTCCGCATGCGTCATGTTGTCGGTACAGATTCCGTTCACTTCCAAAATCTGGTCCCCAACGTGCAGCTGGCCGCTCATCTGCGCGGGTCCCATCTCCGCGATCCGGAGCACAAAGAGCGGCATATTGCGGAACTCGCGTCCCCCTCTGATCGAGAAGCCGAAGCCTCGAACACCTCTCTGAAGGACGACTCGACGGAACTCGGCCGGTCCTCCCGGTGATGCGGGCGGCATCATCTGACCCTCGACCAGAGAGCTGGCCGCCAGCATCTGGCTCCCGGGGCGTTCTGGAAATTAAGGAGGACTGTGTTCAGTTACGGATTTCCAATCGGTGCGCATCGGATTCCATAGAGTCTCCCGGTCGTTCGCCGGGCTCAGGGAGACCGTTCCCCTGAAATTCCTCACCGTTGAAATCTTCTGGACCGAGAGCTCTGTTTGTGCCGATGCTTGAGAGATCGTCCTGAATGGCAGATATAGCTCCGGCCCGAGGCGCAATCGTGAGCGTTACGGTCAATCCTGACACTTTGATCAAGTTGACAATGTCCTCATGATGCATGTCCAGTATCGAGATCCCGTTCACTGCGTGGATACGGTCGCCGATCTGGAGTTTCCCGCAACGTTCCGCAGGACTGCCCTCTATGATGCGACCGATCGTGGAGCCGCATTTCCCGACAGAGGAAATGATCACGAATCCGAAACCTTCGGTTTCGTGTCGCTCGACCGTTACGTTGTACGTATATCCGGGGACGACCTCGCTGCTGTGACCCGATGTATCTGTGGAAAGGATCGGAGTCAGCCGCCATCACGGGAACATCACGAGGCAGGGATCCCGGGCACGGGACATTCGGCGCGTACGATCTCACCGAGGAACTTACTGTGCAAATTCGTGAAGCGTCTGCGTAAGCCTAGAGTGACTTCGCCCGATAGAGCGGCGGCCCCCATGAGCTGAACGACATGGTGATGCGATGCGTTGGCGACCGAGTGTCCGTCGACGCTCAGAATCTCGTCGCTTGTAAGTATTTGACCGTCGAGGTCAGCTGCTCCCCCAGGTACGATGTGACCTATGGCCACTTGGGAACCTTCTTCTGTACCCCCGACAATGCGAAAACCAAAACCACTTTCCTGTCTACTTAAGGTCACTTGGAACTCCGCACCGTAAGCCTCTGGAATGTATCCCTGAACTGAAGGGACGATACTCTCAGGGTATCCTGTTGTCCCGTATATTGACTGCTGGCCGTGGTCGTACGACGGTTGGGGCGTAACTCTGTCGTTGTTGCCGTACAAGGCGTAGTAGTTCGCGTAATCTCCGTGGGACGATGCGACGGCTGAATGCGCATTTCTCGAAAGGTTGCGTTGACCTGCCGGAGTCGGGTAATCGTAATGCCAAACTTCGGATTTCGCTCGTACGTGTCCGTACAGGTCATCGTCGTAGCGCTGATTGTACGGTCCGGCGGGAACCATGGTCGTTCCGTAGATGCTGTTGCTGACGTTTGAATCGGTGACGGTCACTTGGGAGAAATTCATTCCGTTAATACGTGTGCAGACATTTGATATGAGCTCCATGTTCCATAGAGGCTGTCGTTCGACTTGTTCCATGAGGTCCATCGTCTATGATTTCCCGCATGGGAAGGTCGGAACTTACTGTTCGGCATCATTTGCGGACCTGTCCTTGGTGGCTTTTCAGGACACTCCCAATTTCTCGTGTCGACGACTGGCGTTTTCGGCCTCTGGATCACAACCTCTTTCGCGGAACCGTACAGGTCGGCGGTCGGTGTTTTCGAACGGTATTGCATCGCGCTCGGGTTGGGGTTGAAGTTGAATTGTGAGAAGGACGTCGAAGCGTGACTCCCTTTTTCGGAACCGGCCTCGTCCAATCCGTTCACTGGAGTCCGCGCACCGGTGGCTTGACTCTTTGATGTTGTGAAACCTCCTCGCTGCACTGTGACTCTAGCGGTAGAGCCTATCTGGCACTCTTTCAACACCTGCACAACTTCTGAATGGAGACGAGCACGCACGTCGCGTCCGTTGATTTCGACCAGTATGTCGCCTTCGGCCAAATTCTGACACCGTTCTTCGTCGAGGATCTTCTTCACCTTCTGACCGTTAGCCGAATCTGCGATCGTGAAACCGAAACCCGACGCTCCCTTGACGATCTCGACCGTCAAGTACTTGGGCGGTTCGAAGTCGAGAGCGCTGTCTTCGTGAAGACTGTTGTGCTGCTCGACGTTCGAGCTGCTCAGGACCGAAGACCTCTGTGCGAGCGTCGCCGAACCGCCGAGAGAACCTTTGCTGAGATCAATGTTTTGCATTTTCCGCATGACGGTTCCGTAGATGTTCTGGTACTCCTGAGACGCGCCAACCACCGATCGATTGATGAGACTTTCGTTATCTGGAAAAAAGTTGAGATTTTTACTCCGTGCAGTCGTTTCCGGAGATTGTTCCCGCTGGGCGAAGAGTACCCAGCGGACGGGGGAGAGGTCCCAAGAAGGGAAACTCATCGATGGAAAATGGAAAAGTTGGGGAGCTACGAACTTTCTCCTTGGTCCATCGAAGTGTTCGCCGTGACGGCTTGGGTGGTGACAATTTCCATGTTCGGATCATCGGGGTCGAAGGGCAGTTTGTAACCTCTGCAAATCTGAAGATGCACCATCTCCCCGGGGACTATCGACTGGAAGAGCGACACGACATCGCTGTGTGTGTAACCCAATACGCAAATTCCGTTCACGTGAACTAACACATCCCCGGTTTGAAGTTTGCCGTCGCTCCACGCCGGCCCTCCGGGAGTGATGCTCTTGATTTGCAAGAACTCTTCTGCCTGATGATCGTTGCCACCGATTATGGTGAAACCGAATCCGCGCGGACTTTTCACCAAGCTCACGTGAACGATTTCGCCGACGAGCTCCGCCGGATTCCTCGTGAAAACATACGGGAGTTGATACTGAGGTGGCAGCAGGGCCTGCTGATGGTTGACTTGAGAAAGCATTGTTGGTTTAGGAAGGGTCGGGGGTGGAATTTTTCTCGTGGGTTCCCCATCTGAAAGAGACGCGCAATCAACGAATGACGTTAGAATTGGGGTTCGGTAGGCGGAGTTTCCTCAAGGTCCAGATCAGGCGGGATAACGTCGTTGCGGAAAGAACGCGGCTGTCGGGACTCCAGAAGGTGAGTCGTCTACTTCTCGGGGTTAGTGGCATATCGGTTAGGTTTTTCCCAGCAAGTCTTTCTTTTGAGTGCGGAGTCCCAAAAATTGCAGATTTTGCGTGGTCGATTATCCTAGTTGTCAGTGGTGATAGTCGACAGGACAGTAGTGAGCTTGATTAGGTAATTCGGAAAACATTCACACATTCAGTCGTCATCACTCGAGAGGCCAGCGTGCAGAATAGTTCGTATTGTTACCGTTGTGAGCAGCGGGATGAGCACTGTTGAGCAGAATTTCGTCCGCCTCCACCACGCTAGTTTCTTTAGTGTGGTTTCCCCCATCCAGATTGTTCCCATTTGATTGAATACTCGAGCTGTTCTTGCTGTTTGAAAGGATCATCGACGAGTCTGCGAGTTTGTTGACTTCATTGTTTTTCATGTTCGTGCAACCGATGCCGTTGTTGTCTAGGTTCAGCTGCGGCGGTTTTCGGAAATCACTGAGCGATGCGTAGGTCTTGTCCTGGACGCAAGACGCGAGACACGGCATCAGAGCCAGAATACCGTCTCGACTATTGTTCATTTGGGCGTCGGTTTCATTAGCACCTTTCTTCTCCGAGTTGGTCTTGTGGAAATCCTCCTTGCTCATAGACACTTTCGAAACGCATTGCTTCGCTTTCTCGTTGTTGTTCGTCTCGTTGAGTTCGTGATCGCTGAAATCGAGCTCCTGATTTCCGCCGCTGGTGAAGACGGAATCGTTTTCGGTAGCCTGACTTTCGTTGATCTTCTCCAGATCATCTTCCGGGGCCTCGGGATGAGCACCGAGCGATACCATCCCGTTCTCCCGGTGTCTGTGCCCCTCGCTCATTCGGTATTGGGGCTCGTAAACGTTCGCATAGTTGTGTGTGGTCATCAAGGAGTTGCCCGATGCGGCATTCATCGACGTATAGATGTCCTCGGGTCGCTTCTTTGGACCGATGGTCGCGTAAAGAGGATCTATCATCGATGCACCATCGTCGTGTTTCCTCGAGAGCGTACTGGACTCGCTCCATTGGTTGTCGTGGCCTCCCTTGCGCACGACGGCGTACTGAGCGGACATGTCGCTCTTCGAGCGCGAGTGATGATTCGAAACGAATTGTTGCTGATGCAGCTGTTCGTTACTAGTTACTAAGGTGCCATGCATAAGCGAGGTGGAGGGGGAGGATTGCACAAATGTTCTTTCTCCATTCTCACCATGAGCTTCTTCCTCACGAGCCGAGGACATCGCAATCGAAAGTGTGCTGCCCGATGTATTAAGTACCGTATTGCCCGATATAATTTCTAAAATGGCGAACACGGACGACACAAAGCATTAAAAGTTAGCACTCACTCCACCATTCACGCAGTTAAATTTCTCATCGTGAAGCTAGGAACCAGCATCGGATCCCGTCCTCGGACGCTCGACCGGGGGATCGATACCGAGACGTCCACTTTATTTACGAATTCATACTCACGAGTTCCATCAGGCTGATTGACGAGGGGGCTTTCGTACTGCGTTCGTTTATTGATGTGGCTGCACGGGGAAAAAACGAGAACTCCGTTTTAGGACCCATCGCTTCGCTAGGAAATCGAATGGCTCTCCCCTTGAACATGCATGTAAGACAGCTAATTCCCCCCGACTAGCGGAAACTCTGCCGAAACTCACTCAATGTAATATGTGCCGTATTGCGGATCATCGATTCGCTCCCAGCCGTACGGAAGCTGCTCCATTTGCTCGAGCGGGGATCCGACCTGCGGAACATCTCGACCGTCGACGGACTCGATGAGGCCCCCACACAACCGAGGATCGTCCCATTGGGAAGTGTTTGTCGCCAAACTGAAATTATTGACCTCATAAATTACCGATGAGAAATCTCTTGATATGACCTCGGATCTTTTAGGCTAGATAGTAACAGAAACGGAAATTCTACGATCCCACTCGGGGTCAAACCGAGAAATTCCCTGAATTCGTTTGATATACATACTTGATGAAGTACGGCTCCCCGTGCTCGGTGTAGGCCTTCTCCCATTGAGGGGGCAAGGGCCCTAATTCATCGTCGACTATTGTTGTACTATCGAAATCACCATAGATTTCTTGCTGCTGCTGTTGATGCTGCTGTTGTTGTTGTTGATGTTGTTGTTGCTGCTGTTGTTGTTGTTGCTGCTGTTGGTGATGGTGGTGTTGTTGCTGCTTGATGTCTTTATAGTGCTCTCCCTCATTGTTATTGTTTATCGTGTTGAGGTTCTCATCGCCTCGGGTGGAGGAAGTATTCACACAGTTGTCCTCTTGTGTAGGGGCACTGTTGCTATTGTTGTTCAGTTTGTCTTGACTGCTCGACAGCTCGAGATGACCTCCACTCGTCGACGGTGCCATTGGCCACTTATTCTGGTTGAGGAATGCCTCAACGTTCGAGCGATTCCGTCGTCGTTTACCTGGATCGATTGTTAACAATTGAGTCACTGAATCTATTGACGGTCTCCCCGCTGAATGAACGTTTCCGCCGATCATGGGGTTCCGCTAGTAAGTATCTGGGTATCCAGTAGGTACCTTCGCTGCTCGGATGCGCTCCGGGCACGAGAAGCGGTGCTTTGATGGCACTTTTCTTTCCGTGGATCGTTATGTTGGGCAGTGGCGTGCCGTAGAAGTTCCCTTCGAAGACGCCGCTCTCGAGTAGTTCGCCGTCGAGCTCAAGACGAGCGAAGTCCTCTTTGGAAAGGAAATGGTAATCAACTCCGTCGACTTCACCCGCTCGCGGTGCTCTTGTCGTACCTTCGGAGAACGTGGAAAAAAGTTAGCCCGAATTCCTCTTCTCCGACATAAGATGCCTCTGCTCCTGTTGCGGTTGGAAATACTCACAGGGAACGGTTCGAATGTAGAGATTATCGCGGATCGTATTCTGGAGATTTTCTTCGGGAGATCCTTTCGTAAACTGGGAATTCAGGTACGTTCCAAGATCCGGATTCAGCTCATCTGTCGGAAGAAGAGTTCGAGTTCATGCGGAGTTCAGAGGAGTCCGCATCGAGGAACGGGAACGCGATCGGAATCAGAACGCAGTCTTTAGCCCAGAATGGATTTGCTCTCACTAAGCCGACGGGGAGATCTGCTCAGCGACGAGCAGTGCAGTCGAGATCACTGTTCGATTCCCTTTTCCACCCACTAATGATGACTCCCACTAGCGAGCGATTCCCTCGACCGGCCGTCATAGCAGCTCCGTTGTGAGAACGACTGCTCCGGAGCAACAGCGTGCTCTGAGAGAATAGACACAGTATCATATTCCGATGCGTTCTCATCGACTGTCCGACCGACCGACCGACCGACCCTCTGACTGATTGTTACGCAAGAACGTGTCGTTATCCAAGAGGCTGATACGATCGAGGATCGCGAAAGTACAAGACGCTTGTTCCACCATATCGATAGAGCAAACATTCTGAGTCTTTCGATCGGATCATCGGCTTTCCCCACCCGAGAGAAAAAAACTCGAACGGAGAAGGAAGCGTCCGATACTCTGTAGGGAGTGGACATTATTCTCCGACATCGAATACAAGCTGTCAAGTTCTCGTCCAGGAAGAATATTCAATCAGCGGGGAACAGACGCAAGGCACGACCAGACGAAGATTTCGGAGCTGCTACAAGAAGAAGGGGGTCTCACGAAATTATTCGGACATTCAAAGAGATTCCGAGTCACACTGAACACGTCGGAAGCACGACGGTTGCTGTTGCCGACCAACTCGTTATCCAAACAATTCCCTTCCACGCCGAATTGTAACCGGGCGTCCCGTCAGAGCAGATACCACTTTCTCTGGTCGGTCGTGATTCACGTCAGACACCGCAACGGTCAGTTTATAATACTATCTAGACTTACCCGAATGTATGAGCGTGAGTCCAATCGGTCGGTTGAGGTTAACACAGTAGTCGAAAAGCGTCTGGACGTCAGAACTCGTGTAGCCCGCTACGTTTTCCTGCTCGACCTCAAGGACTACATCTCCAGCTCGGATCGGATAGTTCGGCAACTCTGAAATAAACAATGACTCTTGAGAATTCGCTGCCGGAACGCTCTTCCAACAGGAACCGTGGGGGAGCTCCGGAACGCTCCCCGAACTCAAAAGTCTAGTCACCTCGACTCCGGAAAACTGAGACTCTTCTCGAGTACTCGAAACGAGGCATGATTCCTTCTCGCGCCCATCGACTGTGAGGTGCCACAGAAGTTGCTCAGCAACAGAGAGCAGAGGAGCCGCTTGGCCGGCTTTCTCTGACGGAAGGGGGTGGGGAGATGCCTACTCCACCCTGGAGCAGGTAGAAAAGAAGGACCCAAAACCCCAAAAGGGCGTTCCGATTCTCTGAGCTACTCGAGGAGAGAGAGAAAGGGAAAAGAGACCGGACTTTGTCGAGCGGAATTATTCAGTTAAAAATCAGCTCATTTGCTCTCGGTGACCGATGAAGAGAGCCTCATTGTCTGGCCCGCTCCGGGAGCAGGTCTCGAACGAGCCATCATTGTTCCATTCTGGTGCACTTTGCAGGGAAAAATCAGCTGCCGACTTTCAAGGAGGCATCACCGTTCGAACAAAAGCCGAAGACAAAGCAGAACCTGCCAGCAAAGACAGCTGTCCCGTATTTCGGGAATGGGGGAGCAGTAGCACCAGAGAACACCTCGACTAACCACTGGAGAAGCGAGCGGACGGGCGGGCTGGCTGGCTCACTCGCAGACGGGTAGGTAGACATATCGAAAAGAGTCGCGGAGCCGTGGAGAAAGCATCCAATTTCTCAGATTAGCATAGCCGGCTCCGAAGAATATCTTAAGCGTGCATTAGCACCGTTTTACACACGCGGAACGAGTCGAAGAGCCTTCGCGGTGGGATGAATTCCATGTCAAGTGACTTTCGGCTACTGGTTACAAACTTCGACCGTTCGGTGGCTCCTACGCCTGCATACGCAGCTACCGTAGCGTCGTCAAATCGATTTCGCATTGAATAAACAAATTTTTGGATGTCGATTCCCGCAGCGGCGATGCCGCTAAGAGTCAGCTCCCGGCTCAACTCACTGGACAAAATTTGAAGAATCACACGAGTGATGCTACCGCCTCGTCCAATAGATGGATAAAAGAGAAGAAAAGTCTTCCCCACTAGAATTTGAGGCGTTACGTCAGGCGATGAGGGATACTTTCCAAGGAAGTATTGCCAAAAATTCTCGGAAAATACACCAATCGACCGGCGGAGCGGCTCGCCGGTTGGTTGGCTAGCTGGCCGGGCGGCCCGTCGACTGTTTGCCTGCTCACTTCCACCTTCTATTTATCCACACATTCCGAGAACTTTGCTCCGCATAGACATATCCTTTCGTCGCGGGCCGATTCACAGATGTGTATTCCGCCACCGACTTCGCATCGGGAGTGAGCCGACTCAAAGCAGCCCAGTTGTTCTGGCTCCGGGCAAAGTTTATCACCCGGTTCTGTTGACGCTCGACAGCGCTTCGCAGCGGACGTATGTGCGTATATGATGATTCGATGCCCGGCGTAAAATGGAGCTTCGACTCATTCGCATCGACTACGCAGTCAAAGGCTCCAGGAATCGTTCCAGTTCCGCTCGGTGAGGCCGATCACCGAATTCGTTTTCTGCGGCCTCGCCCAGAGGCCGCGAAAACGCGGAAATCCATGTGATCTCACGATAACTCTCTAACGGCTCCGTGAGGGTCCCTGGCGGGAGTGTGGGTTCATGAGCATATCCCGAGTTTCATACTAGGGCGGAAGGTGAAAAGAATTCATCGTCGCAGAACATCACGTCCGTCGGCATTTTTCCTGTGTGTTCTGGCGAGCAGTCAGTCATCGTCGTTTATCTGTTAAGCTTTCGGTCGTGACGCGCGACGGCGGGTGTGGCACACCCGATAAACGATAGGGAAAAATCGAATTGGGGAATCTCCGACTTTCGGCTCACGACGTTTACTGTTTTTCTGGATAACGACTTTCTACTATTCCGATATTGCTGTTCTCTGACGCAGCGCCTCGAGTACTGAATTCACCCTTGGACTTCGGTAAAAAGCAGGAATGACGTCTCTGGTCGAGCTGTAACCCACCCAGAAGTGGGGAATTCTCGAAAGAACTTTCGATGTCGATGGGCGGCATTCCTTGGATCGCTTCCCCCAGGGACGAAGATGGAGTCAAGGAAACGAAGGAAAATATTCGGGAAGCGGTTCGAGTCATTCAGTCATTATTCAGAGTTCTCCGGCAGAGTCCAAGCTACTCTATCGACATCTCGCCTCTCAATCCGCGAATCCTCATCCGCGATTTCCACCGGAACGCTCCGGGTATCAAAGAATTCTCGAAGAAATTCTGACACGATCAGGCTCTCTGCACCTCGTTGCTTTGAGTCGTCGGAGACCCAAGCCGGGAATTGGGCTTTCGGCCGTACGTCAATCTGCACGGCGAAAGCGAAAGTTTCCCAAACAGATCGGGCAATGACTAATCGCCAAAGTAATTGTGACACACGACCGAGCGTCTAACCAATGGAAAGACGCCTCGGTCTTTCGGGCGATGTCGTCCGGCTCGACGGGGTCCATCAGACGACACATCCGCTTCCTGGATAACTTACTTATCGACAACCGTGGCATCGATGAAGACGCTGCAGAAAACGCGAGTACCGAATCGGCATCCTGTGCGTGAAAACGACCGCTGTACAAACATAGCTGACACCGGAGGAATTCGCCAGATCGGGTTCTCGCGTAACAAAACTCTTATCGCTCTTTCACCCTGTCATCTGTCTCACATCAGGCAGCCCGTAGATTCTTCGTCGCAACTGTATTCGGTGAAAGCTTACCATTCTCGAGCAGAACGAAACAGGCTTTCTCCGCTCCTCCAGTCGCCTTGAGCTCTCTGGTGTCGCTGGGTTTGAGGGCGACGTTGAAGGCCCCTTTTGGGCCCAAACGTACGCTTCCGGCACTCGAGGGGGTCTTCCCGCTATCCCCCGAGCGTTCCATTCAACATTTCCTGAAGTCCGCACGACTCTCGTGCATTGGAGCAGTTTTCATCAAGGTCTGAAAGCGAAAGTGAAAATTCACAGAAACTTCAATCGGGGAATTCTCCGGCGCTCTGCGAGCCAGAGAAATTTCCCTTCTCCATGTATCTCAACTGCAGGTAGTAGATTCCCGAGAACGATTGTGGGAGTATGAGCGATATCTCCCGTTCGGAGCCGCGATACCGGCTCTGCCAGATCTATCCGTCATGATCGAATTAATGAGAATCAGCCACAAAGGACCGTATCCGGACAATCACAAGGCGATCACGAGGTTTGCAACAGCGATGGCTAGCCGCATTCGGCTACTAAGAATCTGAATCCAAGAATAATCTAGCAGATCTTCAGCCCTGCTGACCACACTCTAACAAGAGAATTCGAGTCGTAGAACGCCCTATTGCGTTATCAGAACTAAACCGACGGCGCGGCGGTGATAAAATCTTGTGAGGGGCACACTGAGCCTAGCTGACTGAGAGGCAACATCACCTGGAGGGGATTCTGGCGGCGACGTAGAGCTGATTATCTTGTTGTCTCATAATGGGCGAGAAATAACTTATTCTCGGGAGATTTCCCCTGCATTCAATTCTGGAAAGTGTTGACGTGACGTGCTCTGGCTGATTAGCCAACAGAGCGATTCGATTCATTCCAAGCGAACTACACCGGGCTGCCAAAACTCAGCTCACAGCACATCGGGAATCGCTCATTACGCGTTCAGAGAATCGGAGGATTACGAATAATGTCTTCCGTATTCACACGCTTGTCAAAACTCGATTAGGATTGTAAATGAGATGCCGATGGCTCAGGACGGAATGAGAGACCGTGGTCTCGGGTGCGGAGTGCGGACTCATCGCGAAGCTCCGTTGCGGTCGACAGCCCGAGTGAAAATGTTCCCGGAATCCATACAGTCTACATTCCATTCCCGAACGCAAGCAAGAAAATTCCCCAGTTCTACGGTGCCGCTAAGAGATGAGCAAGAAGATTCCCAAAACAACAGCGGATGGTGCGGAATCTTGTGGCTGAACGAATGATTCTGAGCTTCTTCCGGCCCGGATTCCAGTCCCCTGTGGATACTGCGATCCCCGTTCGATTGTTCTAATGATATCGATTGATGGGATACACCGCAGAAAGAAGAAATCACTCTTTCGTAACGGGGTCAGACTTAACCGCGGCGAGCAGTACCTCAATACAAGACATGAACACGTATCCGACAGCAATAACGAGCGCAATAAGAGCATTCAAGCTTTACGATGGATCTTAGTATTGAATTAAAATGCCGAGAATAGGATTGCAAAGAGCCTGACGGAGCGCAGAGCGACAATGCTCAAGAAACGCTGTTCGAATACGGCACAGTGTACGTTGACGGGAGCTTTGTTGTTGTGCGGTCGTTCCCGTAGTAGTTCGTCGCCCAAGCGGAACCCCGGGGGCCCCTGGCCGGGCAACGAACATCAGAAGAAGCAGAAGCTTCGGATACACCTTGTTGTCACCGAAATCATCTCCAAACAACCCTATCGTAAAGGGAGGATGGACATCGATTGAGCCCACTGATGAAAAGACCGCATGCGATCGAGTATTCGAACACGAGTCCACCATCAACAAAACCATCCACCGTGAAGCAACAGGTCTCCGAACGCGGCGATCGCGTTGCGAGTTCGTCCGAGTATCAACAGGTCTCTCGTTGGCACGGTGGCTAATTCAGAGAATCGATAGAATGTCGAGACGAGCCCGAGGATGGAATGTCCCCCTTGCGTATGAATAGACGACACTTTCCAAAAGTCTTCGATGATTGGCTTGACCCAAAAAGCAGAACCGGGGGACTCACTCGGACACTAGAATCCTGGGACGCTGCACACGGATATAGTTCGAGAAACCGTCACTAGTCGACGAACTGAATGAGCACGGGCGATTCCTAACTAGCACTCCTGCACAAAAAACGTCATAGCGAACACAAATCGGAATCAGCCTCTGTGTCGGTGACAACAGCAGCTCCACAACTCCACAACTACAACTGATCTTCCATAGCCGCTGCTGCTGCCGCCGCCGCCGTAGCTCACACAACAGACACCACACCAGCCGCCAGCCAGCAGCAGCACACCATTCGTTTTCGTGAGTTTGGATAATGATGTCGATGATTTCTGCTGGGGACTCGATCAGAACGGGGCGGCTCCGTCTAACGCTTTTCGATTTCGGTACCCAGCATAGGTATTATGGAGAGTCATCCAGCCGCTTCGGATCACAGTGGATCACTCTGTCAGAATCATGCCTGTGTCGCGTCGTATCACGCAGAGGGCACGGGATGACAGTGAGATCGTTTGGCCCGGTAGTGAGCCGTCAGATCCTTTTGGATCAAGGTGAACCTGCGCGAAATCTTGGGGCATTTGTGAAAAAGGACTAACGTGGACCGTGAGGTGTGCGAGTCTGCCGAGATACTCTTCCAATCGACGAGAATCTGTGCGATCCACTTGGGCTCGACGCAGCCGAGAATCGGAATTGGAAATTGATGGAAGGGACCGCCCGATGGCGGTCAAAGCTCAAGCCAAGACCATCGATGCTATTGCCCACGGTCTCTCCTACCGCAATATTCAATCTCTGAGCGTTTTTTCGGCGGGCCTTATGCCTCTTCGTTTTACGCCTAGAATGAGAAAACGTGCACTGCACGCCTTCGTGAGCGAGTGTACCAGCGCCTAGATGTACGCCATACAATGCCTATAAGCGTACCGGAGCTGAGATGAATGCCCTAGGTCGTCCATCTTGGATGTTTAGCCGGGTCTGAAATCGAACGCGCGAGCGAGCCGGCAGCTGTATCCGGCTGAAGTTCGATAAATCCGAGCCCGACCGGGGGAACAGTGCTCCCGGACCTCGCATGTTGGCGTACTCGTTCAGATCATTGGGGTCTCATTTGCGGCGAGTTTCGATTGTGGGGAAGTCGAGAGTTTCGATTCATCAAAGGCTCATGTCGCATAAAAATAATGATCGAGGGTTGCCCTTGTCCGCGAGGGGTTCGAGGATCGTGTGGATCGACATGGAGATGACGGGTATTGGATAGAACTCGAAAATGACCGGCATTGAACCATCAATCATGTTCCTGTCTCGCTTCCCCTCATGTTCCTCATGCCCACCCCGGCTTCAGGTCTAAACCCCGACAAGGATACGATCATGGAAGCCGCTTGCGTGGTCACAGAGGCGGACCTCAGCGAGGTCGCCAGAATAGACAAGATCGTTGTGCACCACCCGTCGTACGTCCTCAACGGTAAAGTGTTAGGGCTCTAACTTCTCCAGTTCCCACAGCGAGTCATACTGTACCGTATGTACCATAATCAGTCTTCCGCTCCGCAGCGATGGACGAGTGGTGTAAAACAACCCACGGGAAATCGGGTCTCACAGCGGAATGCCTGCAGAGCACGCTCTCTATCCAGGAGGCGGAAGATCGGATATTGAAATTGCTCGTCGAACACACGAATCCCGGTGAGGTAAGGATCGATAATGTCTTCGGGTGCCCTGGCTCCAAGCAAGCTTGCCGAAGCCGAGAGATTTCTGCCCCGATTAAAAGAGACCCCGATGCACCGACAGAGCTCAGCGAGGAGAAAGTGAGATCGCTGACCTTCTTTTCCCAGGCGCCTCTGGGCGGGAATTCGGTTCATGCGGACCGGATGTTCATCCGGCGATACTTACCTCGAGTCTACGATCATCTGAATTACCGCATCATTGATGTCTCGAGCATCAGAGAGCTCTGCCACAGGCGAGTACGACCGTAGGATGAGCGGTTAGATGAGCTTGGTCATTAGCCATTGGGTTCTCCGCATTACGTCAAGGTGGGCAAAGAGTCCGGGAAATGGAGAGCTTCGATAGTAATGTATGCCGTATCGGATTTCCAGATGGAATCTTTCTGTGTTCGAGAAGCGCCCTCGGAAAGGGGAGAATCATCGTGCCCTTGAAGATATCCTTGAAAGTATTGAAGAACTCAAGTATTTCAAAGAGCATTTCCTGATCACCTGATCTGGGGATTGGGTCGCCCCTGCTCCGGATTATCCGACGGGCTGGGTGTTCCGCGGAGTGCATGCCGCATCCCGAGCAGGCGTCGACCCGTGGAGGAATCCATCTACTTAGGAAGCTCGCGAAGACATCAGCTCGGCGGGAAGAGGCACCCCGTAATCCGGAGGGGCTCGATAAGAATAAACATCTCTCGTTGTTCGAAGTACTTATGGTTTTATTGAATGTTCCAAGATGAATACACAATACTTTACTTTCAAACCAATGAGACCTTGGTTTACGAACGTCTTCAAACCATTTGATTTTAGTTTTGTAGTGTAGTCCGAGCGTCTTGCCCTTAGAACAGCATGATGCGCGAATATAATGGTAAATATATATCTTAATGCGGGGCGTGACTCTCTTGTCGTGATGTGAACGATTCGATAGACATTCAGGTGAGAAAAACATTCCACTTCCAAATCATTCCCCGTCTACGATTGAAGCCGTCAAGACCGGGACCTCGGTAACGGTCTCACGGAGAATTTAGCGCTACCGTCAAATCGTCACGTCAGTCGGCTTTTCCACCATCGGAAGTCCTCAACAGAGTAAGAAACCTGGGACTATTCCCCAGGTTAGTCGAAGGTTTTTCGTCATTTCTTGAAAATTCTCAGACACCTAATCTGGGCTACGATCTGACAGGTCCCTTCACGCGGTCGTCGACGCGACCGCAGCGGCGGCTTCCAGTTCTTCAGGTGCGCTTGCAAGACTTTCCTTGTCTACATCAACATCTGTCTCCATCGGTTGCTCTCCAACTAGATCATTTTTCGAGGTTGAATCCGGTTCGTCTCCGGAGGATTGTTGGGGCTGAGGTTCCTGTTTTTTTGTTCGTGCTTGACCTCGGGAACAGTTTCGCTTGCGTCCATATCGTCTCCCTCAGGATCCGACTCTCTCTCGAACTCGGACGGGACCCCGGGAGAATTCGCCTGCAAAAGCCGAGGGATAGTCAGTTCTCAATGATGATCTCCGAAGGACCATCTCCCTGATATCGGAATATGGCACCACGCTCGGTATTCGATGCGAATCGGATCGGAACAATGCAGTTTTGGGGCTGGGGGAAACTGGCTTCAGTACTCACTCTGATGTTTGAGTTCCAATCTAGTCTTTCGAAGTCTTTGAGTTTCTTCAGGAAAAGAGCGATTTTCGGTCTCGTGTGACTCAGAGTCACCATTTTTATCGGAGGATTGTATCCGACGTAATACCGTTGCACGTATTCGAACATGTTCAGCAGCTCCTTCGGATACGCCAGGTTGAAAACGAAGTAGGCTGCGTACACAAGCTCTAAGGCGTCGAGGTATGTCTTCGGCGAGTACAACAGCTGTCTCTCAACGACGACGTGGTAGTGGCAGTTGAATATAGATTCACCAACTCCTATGATGATAGGAACCGGTTCCACATGTTTTATTGCATCGTCAAAGGCTTCTTTGTCCTGCAAATGGATAAAAGCTAATTATACGAAGAAGCCGACATGAAAGTTAGGAGTGCATCGCTCGCGTCGATAAAGGATGCATTCGGATAATCTCTTGCCCCGTTTCGGGTACTCACCGGAACTAGCTTGAAGAGAAGCGAGAAATCCTCTTCGAAATTCAGAGCCAAGAGAGGCATGACTCCAACTTCCTCGGGCAACTGATAACGGTCGCTCAGCTTCGCCTGCGAAATTTGCAGCGACCATTCCGCCCCCTCGTCGGTATTGACTCTCTCGTGCAAAAATGTAACGAGCTTCGGAGCATCCTTCCGCATCGCTTCTTGGAAGCGCCCATGGACTTTCTTTAAGCGCCTTAGAGGGAGAGAAATTATTGTCTTGATTCTCGATCACTCAGAACAAAGCTCCACGACGAACAGAAAGACCTGCTCTCCTGTTTCCGCGATTTTCGTATAGAGAATCTCTGGATGGAACCGTGAAGAAACCCATATGAGACTCGGCTTCGATCCCGATAGAAATATGATACTCACTTGAAGACGCTGAGGACATGCTCGGGCTTTCGCAGCACTGGCCATTCCGCGATTGTCGCGGCACAGTCATAGTTGTTCGCGGCCATCTCTTGATACAGCATGTCATAACAGTTATGGAGAAGACGCAGCTGTTTGGCGTCATCTTGTTGTTCAATAGGCTTCTTCACATCTTCTTGAAGCCACGTCTTCTGCTCTTCGAGAGACAAGGCTTGCTACAAAACAGAACCAAATAGAACCAAACTTTAAAATCGAACTCAACTTCCAAGCAGTCTTCTATGGTCACGCGTTCAGCAACGTTTTCCATGGCTCGCTAATTACCACAGCAAACCTAAAAGCATTCGCTAGGACAGAGCTCATTGATCTCGAGGCCTACATCAGCTCAATCATCTCAGAAGAAAGCTCGGATTGGGAAAAACCTTTCTGGATGGTTTTGTTGGTCGAGTGCTCAAAACTTGTTCAGAATCGTGAATGAATAGCCATATGATGGATGCAATGACCAAAACTCTTTCGAGCGATTCGTCATCGAGGGTGACGTCGTCAGCGCTGCCAGTGACGACGAGGATATCGAACGACTGAACGAAAAACGAGACCGATTTCGTGGGCTCGGACTGATATTGAATCAAGCAAGTCAAACGAAGAGAACTCCAATCGGAACCGAGGAGGAGCAAACGCTCCGAAACAAAATCGTGCAGGGTGCAGTGCATCAGATTACACCAGGGTTTCGATCTCATTGTGGAAAATATTTTATTTTTCCAGCTGTTCTCATCGTTTCATGATCTACTCTCCTGCGTTGCCCATGAGGGCGCGCACATGTGCGCACAATTCGTGAATCGCGCCGTACATAAGCGAATCTCTCTCAGTTGACCGCTGGCTCAATCGCGTTTTCAGGCGACTGCGGCGGTACAGGTCGCTTCTTCAGGGGTTTGCTTACCTCCTCCTCCACGTGTCTGGGGTTTGGCTCAGGTGCGACCGCTTTCCTCGGACGTCCGCCCTTCTTTTTAAGAACCGGCGTCGACGTACCGTTGACAGCAGCCGTAGGATCGCTGCCGGCTTCCAGCTTAGGAACTGCGCTTAGCGGAGCTGGAAAGTCATCGTCAATTGCAAGTTAGAAAAGAGAAGAATCTCGCACGCTCGATCGCCGGGCTTCGGCTGGGATTAGGCGGGCACGAGAACTCACCCGCTTGTGCCGTCTTCGTGAGTGACTTAGGATCTGGGCTAACTCCGGGAGTACGGTTCCTCGCCGGACGGCCTCTGCCCCTCTTCGTCCCGGGGGTAGTGGCAGGATCGTTAGGAGAACCCGGGGTCAGGGGCTTGGGAGACGCTCCCGCTGGGCTTTCGGCGGCGGTGGCGGCGGCGGCAACGGCGGCTTTAGCCAGACTATCCTTCTTCGTCCTCTTTGGTACGTTAGCCTTCGCCGATTCCTCGTCATCGTCGTCGGCGCGCCCTCGCTTGCGGAGGCTGCTCTTTCGTTTGCCCTCGGGCAATATGACGAGACTTCTCGGATACATGTTCGCAACCTGCATGGCGATTTCCTGGATCTGTTGTGGCTGCGGAACCCCTTTGGCTTTGATGATGTCGACGGTGATCTTGTCGATGAAACGCTGTCTCTGCTGCACCGTGAGCACGTCGCCGTTCGTGAGAGCTCGCACGATATCCTTCGGCAGAACTGCAAGACGAGTCGGTTCACGTCACGGCCCGAAACAAGATGATTGGGTCACATCGAAACTCACCATTGACAATATCCCTCGCCAAGCCGCTAGATTCGTCTGACGGGGGACTCGTCGTTTGGGCGGCGGCGGCGGCAACAGCTTCGATTGGCTTTGCCGCCGTAGAGCTTTTGACTACATTATGCTCGTTTCTCCGCTTTTTCTCGGCAGCCCGACCAGCTTTGGCATCCGCCTAGAAAACGGTTCGGTTAGCGACGCGCGAAAACATACCTTTGATATTAAATTCCACCTTGCATTTGGAATCCGAGGTGATTTTGCGGTTTGCACCGAGAGCCAGCGGAGTGGCAGGTTTGGGGGCATGTGCAACGCCCAGCCATTTCTTAACGGGCAGAACCCGATTGTAGAATCTGCCTTCCGCGTGCAGATCATAATTCCCATTAGCTGTGCGAGCGACTTTTACCGTCTGAAACGTCGGCACGTGCGGCGGCAGTTTCTGCATTTTGATCACTACGTCGACCGGCAGCTTTGCCTCTTCCGGGCTCAAAACGGTATCTGGAACAACAAGTCACCGATCGTTAGATGGGCATTCATTTCACCCTTTCGCGGAGCTCCGTCCTCGTCCCGGAACTCGCGAGCTCTCGAGCGGCGACGGTTCCGACGAAGCCGTCCGGGAAGCCGTTCGGGGACCGTCTCGGGAAAAATTCTGAAGGAACAATCTACCGCCATCGAGCTCGAACCTCTCAGTCAGAATACCTCTCGGTCAGATATGGAGTCTGTTCGAGTTCCTCTCGCGGATTGGGTCAGTGAACCCGAGAGTTCGCATTTTCAGAACGATCGCAAGTGCGTATTCTGCGGACAAGTTCGAGCTGCAGAGGCGACGCCTAGGCGCTGATGAAGCGTTCGAAAGCGGCGCGAACTGTCAGGCACTCCGAGTGCTCGATCAGGATGAGAATCGATCTGACTGTCTGGCCTACCAGCGGGTCATCTCGGGTGTCGCTTTTTCTTTGCCGACTGGCTCGGTCTCTGCCGGGCACTTTCAGTCAAACGAAGCCGAACGCCAGCACCGCACAGTCGCACCACAACAGCTCAACCGAGTCCACACCACCACGAATACTCGTAACTAGTCCGTGTAGTAGCTGTTGTTGCTGCTGCTACCGCCAGCACCACCGCCGCCGCCAACATCGGCGACGACGACGGCGGCGGCGGCATGGAATCGTGGTGGTACACATGCGCAGTAGAATCTTCTCGCGACTGTTAAGTAAATCTCCCTCTGTCGGGGTGCCCCTCCACGTTCGGTCCATAGCTTCGTTGACTGAATGCTTGGTGAGCGGAACAGTTCGCTCGTCCGTCGCTTATCGAATATCCACCCGATAGGAACTCGGCGCGATATCGAGAATATCTACTCAAGATAATGAATTCCGTACTCACTCAGCCCTTTAGAAAGCACGACTTTGCGGAGATCGTCGCACATTTTACACATTTCCTTGAGTTTGTTCTTTGTCTGCGTAATGGTTTTCTCCTGGTCGGATATGATGCGCTCGAGTATCTCTCGATTCACTAACACGAGCTCGGGTAAACCAGTTTGCTCACTCAGTTTCTCATAGCCGTGGACTCGAAGCTTCCCGTTGCCTGCGAGGGGAGAAATTTATTAGAAGGGCCGTGGGGGACGACGTATCCTCGACCTGGGCTTAGAATCCCAGGGGAAACTCACCGACAACGATGGGAATCTCCGCCTTGTCCGAAGCGTTTGAAGACTCCCTCCTGGTTGGAGGACCCGCGCTCCGCTTCGCCTTGGGGAGCTTCCTCTCGGATTTCGGCTCCGTGGGGACTTTTGCCAGAGGTTTGCGCTCCGGCGTGGCTGAAGGTACTTCGGCTTCCTGGGACGGTAGACTCGGTTGTACGGTTTCGGGTGATACGGACGCTTGATCATTCCCGGACTGATTGGAAGAGTTCTCATCGAGCCCGTCGAAGGCCGCGACGAGAATCTCTATCTCCTTGTACTTGTCGTCCCCCATTGGATTCGGTACTATTGCTTCTTCGTCAACAGGAACTTCGATCTACGAAAAAAGGGACACGATCAAATGAAGTCTCGGACGCTCCCACTTTTCTTAAGACACTTCGAATACCCGAGGGTGTTCGAATGGAGAGGTCTCCCCGGGCAGGTCCAAATCTTTCAAGATGGAATCTGTCAACGAGATGACTCAGCGATGATTCTAAACTCCGACCGCCCCCAGACAACGGAGTCGGAGCCCGGAGGGCTGGAATTCTCGGTGCCGGGTCCATGGTGGAGAGGATGCGACAGCGATGAGTCACTCGAAATCCTCTCAATTCAGAGCCGGAGAATCAAGACTTATCGCTGAACGAGTCGTGTTGAGCTGAAGCTCAAGTCCACGAATCAGGTTGTTCCCTTCCCATCGATAGATCCGAGTAACTGATAGCGACAACATCACAGAACGACAGGCGAAGATACTAGGAACGATACGCGAGATCGTTCGCAATCGCCGGAGACGGCGAGAGCGCTTCGAGATGATTCCGTTATCTGGGGTGCGCGGTTCGTGCTTGAGCTCTTCGGGTGAAGGAGACGATTGTATTCCGAAACACAAATTCCAAATCGATGAGCCAGAGAAGCGAGTCGACAATTAGAATATAGCGAAAAAACCGAAGAAGCCTCCCGGCGTTGGAATACTCCGCCAGGGAGACGGGCTGGGCTGGTTTCCGGAAGGGAGGCTCGATCTCTCGAAATGTCACAGGTCAATCACATCAGGTCAATCAGGTGGTCTCGATGCCTCCGTCCACAATCCTCATCTGACTGCTCATCTAACTAGGTTTGAATTTGGGATGACTTTTCTGATTGTAGGGGTACAGCATATCTGTCCCTGTCCACGAAGCCCAGACAGGGATCGGGTATCTACGTTGAGCTCCGCACACGACAGTCTTTGCTGCCGCTAGAGAGATCTCTAGAAAGAAAAATACTTCGACTCACCTGTTCCGAGGTCTGCGGGAGGTCCGCGTTGCTCTGGAGCAGGGCGGTCTCGCCATTTGCAGTAGTCTGTTCTGGTGATGAATTGCTGTTTATGATCAGGAAACGTTCACCGCTTTCCCCGGCGTTCGTCGTCTGGGTAGATGGAGCCGTGGTCTCACTATGGATGCTGGCGACGACCACAGGAGCGGCGGCGTCGTCAGGTTTACCGGCGATGCCGTCCGGACTACTGTCGGGAAGCTGTGTTCGATCTTCATTGCTGTTGCTGCAGGTGCTATCCGCTGGGAGCTCGGTCCCTCCCAACTCATCGTTGCCAATTGAGTCAGCTACCTCGTGACTCTCATCGAGTGGGACTGCCGATGATATGGGACTCGCGACCTCGGGGTTCACAATCACAATCGGATCTTCTCCGTTCAGAACCTCCTCGTGTTTCTCCTCTTCGGTTTTCTCCAGGACTGTTATCGTGACCAGGTCACCGCTCTCGTTCGCATCTGCGTAAATAATGGCACCGGACTCAGACTTTCGGAGCGGCAAGGGCGGTATCGCATCAGCTAAGCTCGCATCACATACCACTGAAGTCAGTGGAGCCCTGGAAACATACCTGGAGATTCTTTCGCATCTGTACTCGATATTTCAGGACTAGTAGTGACACCGAAGTCTGTTTGATCTACGGAGTTGGAAGCGGCTTGTACTCCGGGGTCGAACTCCGCTTCCAGCTCAATTTGTACATTGTCCTTGACACAGCCATCTTTCTCATCTAATGCATCCGTGCTTTGCGCCTCCACTGATTCATCGAGTTGCAATTCGAAATCTTGTTGCTCGGAGTCTCCCGTAGTCTCGTGGCTTGTACGTGCATCCACAATGGTTGCCACTATTTTCTCCCGATCGATATCAGCGAGACACTCCGTGTCGACGGCCGTATCTATAAACAAAGAAAATTGTGTTGGCCGTCAGAACTCTGATCTCAGAAAACCGTCGGATATTCAGCTGGCGGCAAGTTCAGATACATCGAGTATCGATACGACTTGGTGACGTCAGAAAATTCGAGGATGATAGTCCAGGAGGGACGGACTTGTTCGCGAGAGTGGGACGATAACGTTCAGAGGAAGGGGCCTTGCTGTACGTGGGAGGTTGAGTGAGGGAACTCGAAGAGATTAGAAGATAAAAGAAGAGATCGTTCGGATCGGGACCCAATCGATCCGACTCACTAGTCTCTCTAGTCTCGAATTCTCAAACCCTAGACGGGGGTCTCAGGTCGCAGGGATTCTGCAAGGACTTCCTGTCTACGAAGGCACCGGACAGCATTTGGAATATATGCTCCCTCAGCTTTGTAAACAGAGAGCCCGTGATCTTCCTCGACTGCCTTCGATCTAGACAGACTAACGATTGTAAGTGAATATAGATGTCCGAGCTTTGGACCCCTCGGTACATAAGAGAGGATTCCTCGATACTCCTTGGCATCTCCACTCCCACCCACGGCTGAATTGAGCGATGAACAGAGTCCACATCGGATTCTGCTTCGACTACGGCTTTCCGCATAAATTAGCGAAACGTCACACAGGGATTTGCTGATAATATTCGCGAAGAGGAGAATGTCCAGCAGCTAGCGGCTCCTCGACCGGAAGAACTTAAGGAGCCAGCTCTTGGGGAGCAGAATGGCGACGAGCCACTGGCGACCCACAAGCACCAGACTTCGTTTCAGATCGATGGAAACTTTGCTGGCGAATGAGCGAAGATCTCCGAACGCTCCGAAACATGATTTTCCATGAGGAGTAGACGACTCGTCCGTGGCAAATTGTCGTAGACCGCAAACGGTATCGACGCTCATCGATATAACTCAGTATGAGTCTCTTCATGGTGAGTTTCTCTCAGAAGCTCGAGTAGATACAGTGCTCTTCATACCGGGGGAAGTGGGCAACGAACGGTTCCCTAGAGCTCACTCACCTGCCATGATAGTCGATGTTTCCTCAATGTCTACACATTAACTTATACAATTATTCGCCTTTCAAATGAAGTAGAAGATGATGTAGTGCAGTGGAACGAAGCAAGCCCACAGCGGCCGCTTCTGGCTTAGGACTCAATGCAGCCCTAGCAACCGAGTCAACATCAGTGAGAACCCGCTCAATTTCGAAATTCGCCGATCTCAAGGAGTGGAAATCGGGACTTCGAGCCCGTATTCACAGCGGTAGAGCTGAAGGGTCGTGCGGGCTTCTGCTTCAGCGGTCCTCGCGGGTGGAATCGGATCGGTGTACCCCCCAAAAAACATCGGAGAAATCCCGTAGCTTTCAGCTCATCGCCTCGTAAGATGCGCCTTCGAATGTTAAGTGGTCGTTTGCCGCTAGCTCGCTAGTGGTGGTCGGTCGATCTACACAGTGGTGGTTGGTGGGAGACCGCTTCGGAGTTTTGCAATTCTTCACCGCACAATTAACTCCACAAAATGAGGGCGGAATTGGAGGGGATGTGGAGCGGTATTCATGATGTCTGGGCGGACAATTTGGAACAAGCTTTCAGAGAAATCAGGTGAGCAGTTCTCATCGAAACTTCGAATGACTCGCTGACGGCCCTCTCGACAGGTCTAGCCATTGACACAGCGCGATTTTGCCAGAAGTTTCAATGAACGAGCTTCGAATTTTTTTCCGATAATACTGCCATCGATCGGGGAACGTTCACTCCGTTGCAAGCGGTAACTTATTTCGCAAGTCACCGGGCGAGCACCGTGGTGAACTCGGGGATGGATCACTCAAACAAAAAAAACTATCGAATGGCACGAGACAGTCTCCGGGACTGGTTTCTGCTCGAACACCGTATCCCCCCACGATGCTCCTCCATCATGGGAATCGATGAGAAGGCCGAGAGAATTCCGATTTCCTCCTTCGGCTCATGACGTTCACATTTGATGTCATATTTTCCGAGCGCGCTAAAAATACTCTCTTCAGGTTGATCGTCAAGAAGTATCCATACATTGGCTTCGACACGGAATTCCCGGGAGTCGTAGCCATGCCTATTGGAGAATTTAGGTCTATGGGGGAATATCAGTACCAGATACTTAGGTGAGTCGCTTTAATTGTTACCTATGAGGAACAGCTTCGGATTCATGTAAAATAATCAGTTCCGTCGTCCTTCGATCGAAACTCGATGGTTCCACTTTGTCTTCCAGATGTAATGTTGACTTGTTGAAAATGATTCAACTCGGCCTGACTTTCTTTGATGAGCGCGGTCATCCCAAAGTGAGTAGTGGAAGAAGCGAATAATGATTGATGGCCTCCGTCGCTCTCCGACCGGCGGTTCATTATTCAGGAACGACTTGTCTTTTCAGGCCACGTACCAGTTCAATTTCCGCTTCAACATAAAGGAAGACATGTTTGCACAGGATTCCATTGATCTCCTTGTCAACTCCGGTTAGTTTCGTGCTTCTTGCCAGACTCCGGATCCGCCCGGTTGCTCCCCGTCGCGATGATGTCGGAACTCAGCGCTAGATCTACATGTTTCTTCCTATTGTATTACAGGCCTCGCCTTCGACAGACACGCTGAGGAAGGCATCGATCCTTTCGAATTCGCTCAGCTTCTCATCACGTCTGGCGTTGTGCTTTGTGAAGGTGTTCACTGGCTGTGCTTCCACGCCGGCTACGATTTCGGATACTTGCTGAAGCTGTTGACCGAACAGAAAATTCCGGAAAACGAAACACAATTTTTTGAGCGTCTCAAAATCTATTTCCCAACGATTTACGACATTAAGTACCTCATGAAGAGTTGCAAGAGCCTCAAGGGCGGCCTCCAAGAGGTGGCGGACCAGTTGCATCTCACCCGCATAGGTCCACAGCACACCGCCGGCTCCGACTCGCTCCTGACTGGTGCAGCCTTTTTCAAGATGCGCGAGGTGAGTTAGCTTTCGCTTTTCACTGCTTAGCCGTCGTCTCTCTCCGATCGCATGCTTGTTTCACCTCTATCCTGTCGCGCGTTTCACCTTTTCCCCCGCTCGTTTCCGCGAACTCAATCGGAATAGTTCCTGTCGTAGACATGGACTTCACCAGAACTCCTCTGAGGAGGACAAAGCCAGGAGATCCTTCGCACTGAGCTCTCTGCTCTGCTTCTATGTCTCACACCGAATCGAAACCGATTGGGAATAGATAGTGCAGCCACTGCGAAGCATCATTTCAGGGGGGTTGTGCCACGGACGATTTACTGCACGATGCAATCGGCCGAATCGTTTTCAAGGAATGCGAAAAGTCGGATCGCAAGTTCAAAGTACTCGATCTTAAAAGCGATATGACTCTAAAGATCGAGTATGACGAAGAAGAGAAAAGGCCAGGAACTCCCCCACCTTGCTAACAACATGCAAGCGCTAAAGCTCTTGATGAATGAATTCAACTCGGAAGAGGAAAACACTGCCCACCGATCTCTGCTCCTGAACGAGTGGTGTTCTCGGACAGACGATCAAGCAAAGTATCGAATTCAGTATAGAGTTGAATATCATCATGCTCGAAGAGAATGATTCGTTGCTATCCGCCGTTTATGGTTCCGCATTTGGAAATAGAGACACGAGTCCTTCATGCTCGCGTAATCGTCATGTTCCCCATGGAATGCTGGATTTCCAATAAAATATCATTAAACGAAAACCACCGTTTGTTCACCCGAGCTTCGCCGCCCTCGCAGGATTCGTTTGCCCACGATAGCCGCCCCCCCCCCAGGTGGCATGATTCGCGGGTATCCACGCTCCGGATACGATGAAGTGTTTTCGAGGACCTCGGAGCGCGGTTCCCTGGAGTGCCGTTTGGTTCGAGTCTCCGAATGTTTGTACATTGTTCCCTCTTCTCATTCCAGATGTTCTTCGAGGATAATATTGACGCTTCGAAATACTCGGGTCACCTGTTCGCGATCGGATCGGCGAACGACCATTCACCGCCTGCTACTGCCTGAGCCACCACTTCATAAAAATTCGGAACATCAAACTATGACGAGAGTAGAGAGCAGGAATGACTTCGCGATAGCCCGCCACCTCACATGTGGATGAGGGGCTGCGGGCAGTGGAAGTTGTCGTTTCACGTATACACCCTCGCCATTGGATTTTAAAATCATCATCCATCACAACACGTGAGAATTATGGGCCGCGAGGACAGTACTGCAAATTGAGTACTTCCTAACCATCTTGTCCGCGCGTTCTCGCCGACCTCAGATATCTTTTGAGGATGCTTTTATGCGAAGTTTGTAAATTTATTGTATTAAACTGTAATTAAGGATCAATCGAATTCCGAACGTATTGATTTGCCGAATAAAAGGAAAAGCTTTGATGATGAGGATGGTTTTCCCGAATGCGATATTTTTCCGAGATCTGTGCGGCCATCTGTGCGGCACCATCGAATGAGTTCAGAATATTTTCCGAAGATTTCTACTGGGGTTCGGTTGTCCGCAGTTGACACCGAACTCAACGCGAGGGACAGATTTGAAGAGAGGTGATTTTTTCACGAATAGTATCACAGGTGAGGAATCTCAGAGAAATATAGCCCGAAGTAACGTTTCGAATGCATCACATCGCTGCGGATTCTCCCGGAATTCAGAAGATTTTCTTGAGTACAGTGATCCAATTCTATTATCCTGGCCAATCAAATATGAATGATGAGCGATTCGAGCGAATATCTCGTTGACTTGATCGATATGGCGACTTCGAGAGGCCGAGATTTTTGCATCAGTCTAGAACGGTTTCAATGAATCTTGAGCGCTCCCCAGCACCTGTGCCCCTGTCAGGCCGAATGCCAGAAAGCTGGCTTGTACTATCGTCATTTCCATCGAGCGCGTACTCACGTGACTTCAGTTGAGGGGTGGAATCTGTTCTTCCAGACTCCAAGGACTTCAGTCCACTTTTCCCCTTGCAATACCGATACGACTGGCTCCCGTGCAGCATCTCGGAATCTCAGCACCTGTTCCCACGAGTAATTATCGGTTTCCTCCGTCTGATGAAGAAAGTCATGAATACCTCATCCTTTGCATTCGACCAGCAAGCATGAGACCCCTCTGTCGGGTCCACGATCTACGCTCAACACTTCCCCAAACCCGGGAAGTCCTTGTGAGGATGAGACTTGAGCTTTGTACTTGTCTGATTGGAAGGCCGAGCCCTAGGGCGGATCGACTGCCTCCAGTCTAAATTAGGTTTCCCGGGTTTTGGCGAGGAGAGGGCCCACAGAGGAATATGCATATCCAACGTCGGGAGCAGGAGCATTCCCCCACAGACCATCGGGGCAGTTTGGATGTGACACAATATAATCAATGGATCTCCAAGATACTTGGCACTGGAGAGCCCAGACTTCTACGGTTGGGGAAAGCGTTCTTTCTATTCATTCCAGGCATCGACTGACCGACGGCTGGAATATTGAGGAGAAAAGCTCTCGAGGACCATTCTCCGCGACAGCCCTTTTCGATCCGAAGATCGAATCGGCCAGCATTCCGTGTGAGCCAGACACAGAGGTCACCTTCGACAATCTTCACACCCTGACCCTGACTGAGAAGGCTCCAGGATGAGCTCACGACATAGAGCCTTCGGGCGCCCCTGGTCGTCGGGAGTGGAGGGTGAATATTCCCGGGAATTAGGCTTCGCCGAATCCACGGAAATAATTTTTCAGCTTCAGGACTCCTCTACATTTTTTGACGAAGTCTAGAAATATGGCTCTTCGTCCACAATGGGAACTAGAGAACTTCCGCCGACGACTTCTCCGGGGATCACCGCTCGAAGAACTTTTCGCCCAAATCATGTCCATTCGTTGCAGCTTCATCACGCCGCGAGAGACGCTACCGACTGATCATTGATTCTAATCATCGGCTCCGCGGCCCAGCTACCTGCTAGCGGGCACGAAGCTCGTCGGTAAGGAGGAGAGGCGTGATCTCCCGGGTTCACCCCCCGAAATTCCTCATTATCGGTGGAAGATTAGCGGTAGCTAGAGGAGATAGCGATCGATAATAATGATTTCCGGCTCCTCCCAGAACTATTTCGACACATACCGGTGTCGGTGGTAATCCAGACTTATGAACGAGCCAGTTCTCGGCTTCCAAAACGGGTTTTTTCTCGGGGACGTCACGACTGACGGAGTTCGATCCAGCTCCTCTGGTGCATGTCGAAAAAACGATTGAGTCGTCAAGAGCCTAGAATGAGACGACGATGGAGCTGAGGTTTTCTGCGGAGTGCTCTGCCTCGCGAAGAGAGTCCCTTGTCAGAGTCCCAGCTGTAGCCATGCAATTCGACAAGATAATCCCTTTTCCTCATTCCTGGGATATTCCCGCGCATCAGCTCGTCATGGTTTTCAGCTCCAATGGATGTCGAGTCGCTGTGAGACCTTTGTACCCATTGGAGCTAATAGGAAAAGCAGAAGGTTGAGATAGAAAATTAACTTCGGTTCGAGACTCGCCTCTTCAAACTCGATGCTTCCAAGCAGCAGCAGTCGCGCGGGATCATCACGTCAGGCATCTCGGACGAAATCTGGCTCCGGTGGAGTGCTGCGGACGAGATGATCCGAACACCTAGAGTCTGAGATTTTCCTTGATTGTCTCAATAGAGGCCGAATTCTCGATTGATGGGAGAGCCCTCCTTGACGGAACAAGATAATCTGTTCTCGTGGTTCTCTCGCATCCCTACTAGGGGGGAGGGGGGTTAAGGAATGGGGGCTAAGCCCTCTGGCATGACCGAAGTCGGGGATGACTCGATCGCGCGTCCGATGGGCTACCTCCGCATTGAGCTTCACATCGAGGCTCCGTTCCAGCTCGATATTTCAACCTCCCGCGTCGATATTTCTGTCCCTCGGGGTAACTCAGATGTTGCCTTCCACCCCATGGAGACATCAGCTCCGTAAAATTGGTCGATTTCGCAGGTATTCAAGGTGCACAGGGGCACTGATCCTCGAGTCGACATCGGATATGCACGTTTACCTACTGCTTTTGCACTGCCCGTACCGCCTCGGGACCCAATCGGCTCCGCGATTTCGGAGGTACAGAGTTTCCGGTCAGCTCTGTTTGTGTACGAAATCTTATCTGGCACATGCTGCATTCTTCGCGCTCAAAATTCCAGATTCTCCAGCGAGCGGTCCGGGAATGCCTATCGGCTCGAATTTATCCGAGGAGAGCGACCCTCATCGATAGAAGAAAACGCCGTAAGGGAACGGAGGTCCTCGAGATACCTCACACCTGTCGGGGCACCGCCAATCGTAAAAGCCTGATCCACTTCGAGAAACTGAGGGCACGGCCTCACAAAAACGCCAAAGAGGCATTCCACATTACTTTGTGCGAGGAGAGCATAGGGACGATCCAAATATGTCAACAACCGGATCCAATCCTAAGGTCATCAACAAGAATCGGGGGGGGAGAAAGTGGCCTTCGGCGCGAGAACCTCGTCCCGGGTCGGTCAGCGGTCAAACGGGAAATTACCCAGGAGCTCGCTTCGGATATCCGAGGAGGGCTTCCTCCATCTAGGGGCAGACGAGCTTTGGAGCCTCGAACAAGCTGTTGTGGAAAGGGGACCGGATCCGAGGAACGACAGTATATCTAGCGGACAGAAACGCAGAACCGAGGAAGCGCTGCGCTGGCAGCGTCAATGGGATCTGGACGCACGAGATCTGTGAATATCATCAACAATCCCAATATATGCATCGATGCGAATCCGGGTACCCACCTCCCACGTGCGTGGTGTTCGATTCAAATTTTCCAACGAACTCATCGGGGGTGAGGAAGCCATGTGAACCGCCGAGTGATCTTTCTCTCTCCTCCTCTGCTCCTCCTAAGCTCAAGTCCGACAGCACAAAGCTAGACCAATCGAGCGTCTTAAAGAACTGGTATTGAATCGACCGGGGGAAGAAGCCTGTGAAATCCAGGCCAATACGAATCAGCATCACTCACGACCTTCAACGACAGAGCAGCTACCCGTGAAGAGTCGAGAACAGGCTCAATGTTTTCCTCTTTCATCATGGTTCTCCGATCTGCATAAAATCGTGCTGAGTTTCTTCTGTGAATAGCTGGGTCTGATTCGGAGGCCACTCAGTCGATAGGGAAAATGTGCTCGCAGTTCCATCTGAGGCGGGCCGCCGCGCCGGTACCAGGGAGAAGAAGACACAGGTGGAGACTCCGAACTTCCACCTCGGGAGTTGCTGTCCCGGTGAGGGAAGGGAATCGACCTGGAGGTATGGCGCGACTTTGCCGCCGCCGATTTCTCAAGAAATCGCAATAGCTCCGAGGTCTTCGGTCGTCGCGTCAGAGTGCTTGGAGTACCTCCGATGTGAGTGCTTGAAGTACTTTTCAGTCACGGCGAGCAAGAATGGACTGGAATCCGGAGCCGACATGCTCGATCTCGCATTCTCTTAGTCCGTCGGTCGTCCCGAAGCGATAATTATTGTTTCGGCTTCCGAAAAGCACTACATTTGGCTTCAGCGGCGGGGGCTTCGCTCTGACGGGCATCGGCTTCGACTGGAGGAAGCGCATCAATTGGAATCGGGGTCCCAGTCTTCCCTCGATACGCTCAATGTTTCTGGTTTATTTCTGAATGAAAAGCTTCTCACCAAGAGAATCATCGAACGAATGATTCGAGCGCAAGATTCGACATACGGGGGAGCTCCTCATGATTCCACGCGCGGTTGTGCAATGGCGGTGATTGGGAGGGAGAAACTTCAGAAAGCTGGATTTCTCGTGACTTCTGAAGCTCGAGGTATGTTCTGGACCAAAGCTCCTCGGGAATCTGATTCGATACCCCTTAAGGAGCTCCTGTCCGAGACGGGCTACTATTGGAGACGGGCTTCCGTTCGACCCGAAAATCCCGCCGAGGGGCTTCAATTGGAGACGGGCTACTGTTGGAGAAAGGCTTGTACTGGAATATTCACGGTATTTTTTTTCGCGATAGATAAGACGGTGACCTTAACCGAATCTGGCTCCGGAGAGCATCCCATGATGGGGATAGAAGGTCTGGACGGGATCGGGATTGCGTGCGTACGAGTGACGGTCGGCTCGCGCTGCAAGCTGAAACCGACATCTATCGATTAGCGGATTCGGGTTTAGTTTGCGACCGACGCGATATTAACCTTGACGACGAAGTCAGGTCGAGAAGGGAACATGAAACGGGAAGCAAGACCGGCCGTCGACTCTTCCCCGGAGTCTTTCCCTCTTCGAGACTCTTTCCACTCCTCCTCGCAACCTCTCCACTCGAGCACGTAGAGGAAGGAAGGCAAGTAGGCAGGTGCGCGCCGACCGAGACTACCGGAACTCGACTCAACGACTCGCCGACGTCAACATCGGTATCGAGACAAAGGCAAGTGTGTTTTCCGTTTCCCGTTCGTTGTCATTCCGCGTGCTTGCCGGTGCGAAGAATTCCTGTCCTACGGGAAAATGTTGGCAATAACCAGCAGACGACTTGTTCGCGACATCCCTCGCTGAGAGTCGGTAAAGTTGCAAAGGGTTTCGCAGGTTCGTGTCGATGTCTCCATTGTAGGGCAGGATTCAATCATGTCGAGCGCTGAAAACCGGGGATATTCACCGGGAGCATCCAATGCGGGATTTTCTCTCGTTTCGAAACGTTGACACGCGGCGTCTTATGCATTGACAGACTGTCCGAATGACTGATTTGACAAGACGGCTCAGAATCGGTCCGGATCATGGTGTCGAAGACGGATACGCGAACAAAGGAGGAAGCGGTTCACGTCGGCTGTAGCCCGTCGTGTTCTCCTCAGTGTCGATGCGGGAAGCGCGGAGGCCAGAAACAATGCAGTGTACGATATTCTATAGCACCTCGGACAAAATATAGCCGTTAGAAGATGGGGGAGAGGAGATAATGAATGAGCAGGGTAGTGGGAAACTCCAATTGGATGGCTCCCCATTCCGGGGATTCCCAACTTCCTCGCGACTACCGTATTCCGACAGCGTGCCGCGGTAAGCGTCGGAGGACGGCGGGAAGCCTCGCCAGAGACAAAAATTGTATCGAGCTCTCAGCAGGCGAAAATTATCCCCAGCCTTTCGATGATCTCTTCGACAACCGTTCCGCGCCTGCTCGGAGGGACTGGTTTGTTGATGTCTGTTTCGAACGAGTTGGCACCGAGGCTGCAGATATATCTATAGACCAGACAGGCTTTGTGACTGCGAGAAGTCTCTGTCATAAGGCCGAGCAGCGAACCGCGCCAATGGAACTCGTGGGTATGAGCTCTGAATTTTCGCGCATACCCATCCATCTGGACGATTCCTCCATTTGGAGACGTCGACCTGTCTTCCGACAAAGTTTAGCTTACCGTACGTTCAGCCGGTAAGGTTGCTCCATGGCTCTCAGAGACGTGCTTCCGGCCATCCGGCCATACTTCGTTGGTGGACGATAGTCGACCGATGATGCCTGAATGCTTTGCCTAAGGCTTCGAATCCGATCTAAAATTAGTTATCCGATAGCCTGCGATGCCGCTTCATCCCACCGTCTGACGCACGCTTGTTCTAGAGCCGATGATCCATCCAACGAATAAAAGAGAGCTTGCGATAGTCTGGCGGGACTTCACACCTTATATATATATCGCAGGTGTTAACAGAGCGACCTTATCATCACATGGACGACCGAAATGCTCGGCCGCTCTCAACGTCAATGGAGTCGAGCCGAAACCCTAAATGATAGGCCGATTGCACGCGAGCGTCGATTGTACTCTCGCACGACTGCGTTGTCGAATCCGACCAGTCGTCCCTCGAGCTCAGACCGGTCTTAGTCGACGGCTCGGTCATCATGAGCTCGCTGGCCCCCTTGCTTTTATTGAATAAATGTCGGTGCGATGATGCGGTGGATACGCTGATCGAAAGACTTTATTTATGGCTTGAATATTCGATCGGCGAATTACTCCCGACCGACCGCGACGCGAGGCAGTCGCAAACGGAAGAACGCTCTTAGTTGAGGAAACAAGCGAAGATCAACATTCGCCGTTAGGGAACGACACGCCGTAACGCTTTCGCTTTCAGCGTGACTCGCTGTTTACGACGGCCTTTCAATTGGACCAGCGGAGGGTACTTCAAGCTGAGAGCTCCTCTCGAGGTTCTGTCCCTAGCTCGTGCTCCGGGCATCGGATGCCATAATATCAGAACATGGCTACGTGACCCATCGTCGGGCCACTCCGGATGCTGCTAACGCGAGCTCATTGGCGACTCGGTTCTGTGCCTTCAGCAAATAGGGTTGGACTGTCTCAATTTCCCAGTCCGAGTGCCCTTTCCTTGTATGTACTATACTGACGGCGGGGGAAAACGTGTTCTCGACTCTGCAAGTGTGGCTCCTGGGTCCCGGGTTCAGCCGAGGAAAAGGTCGAAAACGGAGCGAATTTCATCCAAAAATAAATTCTCAGGTCGAACGCATGCGGGATGGCTCGAATAGGGATGTGATTGAATATTTTCAATCCCGGACACTCTATCGAAGCTCGAATTCAGACATGAGCCTCGAATGAGCCTCCGACCGGCAAGCGACATAGCGCTCGCACCGGGTGGAGTTGTGATTTTGAGGCGGCGGTCCCGGGGAAACTGAAATGTGTGATTTCGAATAACTAATCCCGGGGCTGCGGTAGCTGAAGACAATGTCGTTCGAAGAGAAGTGAACCGATGGATTCGATGTTTCGAAAATCGAGTTTCAGTTTCTCTTTGCTTTGGACGTGTTCTGCTCTTTCTCTTGTGAGGCCTCGGGGCAGCCACGACCTCATGATGTGAGCTTCCGTTCAACGGACAAGTTCCGGTTCTGAACGCAGGCTGAGCGTCATCGGTAGTGGAGGAGAACGTCTCCAATATCATCTCTGTGATGAACACGGTCGTAGACTCTTCGTACGCAGACGAGAAGTCTGTGGGGCCGCCTCGTGCAGCATGAGCCTGCAGCAACTCCTATTATTAGTGTGACTAACGCGGAGTTTAGCACGCGCCGCGAATCCTTTGTCTGCGCTCTGTGTGAGTAAAGTTGGGGCATGCGACGCTTGTCTGTTCCTTCTGGCGAGGCGGATTGCACAATGAGCAACACGACGACGGTTCGGACATTCACTTCGCGAGTGATGCTGTTGTGCCCGACCGGCTTATATCGAAAGTGCATCAGCGGAATGCATTCGCCGAGTGGAGTCGGCGAATGAACCGATCAGATCGGCGATGACGTCCAACCAAGCGATCCAATCGGTCCGCGTCGTCGCATGCACGGAACGACATGCAGCGAAGGGTACGAGCGTGGAGGTCCGCCATGCGAGATCACGAACTACCGTTCGTATCCAGAATCTGGGGAACCCACGGATTGGTCCCGATCGGACTCGGGTCGATTTCGAAGAGGCAGCTGATCGTTAATGCGGAGAGTTGGGAGGAAAATAATATTGCCGTCGACTTTCTCAGGGTTGACAATCGACCATCAAGTGCGGGGATGAAAGAGCACTCGCTCTCCCCATCTCGCCATAGCGGTCTCTGAGCTGATCGATAGGAATTCTCCTTCCACCGATCGATTTCCACCGGGAAACCGCGCTGAAAAACGGCGGAGGTTCCACGGCGGGGGCGATCACTGACCTCGTCGGAATTCTGGAGGGTACCAAGCAGACGGAGTCCTCGGCTGCTTCGCGAGAGCGGTCGCGGCAGATCCTCTTTTCCCGTCGCGCGGACCTGCTCAGCCAATGAATGCTCGTTGTGTCGCGAGTCGTGACATGAGGTTTCAAGGGAACGTACTAATCCGTCTGGGATAAAAACCCTGGACAGTGACTGAATGGGAGGAGGTCTCTATTCAGGAGACACCATATATCATTCCTCGGTCGCGCCGTCAACTGCCGCGGAGCGCGGTCCGTGTACAGGACATGTGTCTGTGAGCCTATTGGACATGAGCCTCGGCCTTGCGAAATCGAATGGGATGTTCGCGGGCTCCTCTCCCGAAGCGAATTAGGCGACTTCGGTGCACGGAATAGCCTGCCGGGAAGTTTGACGTGCGGCCTCATCACCACCGTGAGAGCGGAAACTCATCATTGATTATTATGAATCGCTCTATTACACCTGTTACGGCCCCCCGCTGCTTTGGTAGTAGTTACTAGGCTGATACATCGACCGAACACTCGACCCTTGCTCGCACTTTTCGGCCGCGGTCCTAAACGGGAAGGGCCGAGCTGCCCGATGTAGCTCGATCTCGGAGTTTGCTCGGAGAAGTCCGCGGCCTTGATAGTCGACGAAGTTCTTATTTATTGGCCGAGCTTCATTACTTTGATGCAGCACGAATTTTGAGAGAAGTTCCTCCCATGCGAGAGTTTTCTCGGCTCCGATATCGACGGCTGGTGGGCACGGGGAAATGGGAAACGAGGTAGAGGCTGCGTAAGATCATTCGTCGCCGTTAGGGTCGAATGTACGCGAACGGAGCAAGTATCCGATGATCGCTAGTATATGGGCGCCACCGACCGAAAATAGAAGCGATGGAAGCCGAAACTTGTGGGTGGCGTCCAACAGCCTCTGGCAGAGTGCCCATCACTACATAGACCTGAGGGCACCGTCAAACCGCCGGCCGGTCATCAGTGACGTTTCGCGCACATCACAGGATGACAAAAGCTCCTCCGTTCGATATCTAGCGACCGCAAGTGATTAATTCGTCCCTTCCTGGTCTGTGATCACACTCTCCAACTTTGACGCGAACCTGCCCTGCTGCGAATTCGTTTGATTGACATACTGGAGCAGCTCGCTCCAACTCCGTTCGACTCGACCGATTTCGATCAATCGATCGACCGGGTCGTGTACTAGAGATCTTTCCGATCACGACCCTTGAGTGCTCACACGTGAGCAGAGAGAAGCGCACGGCAAATCTGACTCTGCGTCGAAGGAAGAAAAGGCATCGTGCATTTCGACTCATTGCGACTGATCGCTTGAGACCGAAACTGCGTTTCCCAAACTTCTCTCAAAATTCGAACGACGCATCGTTCTCGGGTCTCCTGAGCTCGCCGCTTACTTGATTCGCATTCCCTTCAAGTCGATGCACTCGGGTCTGCGGCAGAATACCGCGAGGCTGGTAATCCTCGAATTCCCTCCCCGAGCGGCTGGCATGCCAGACGGTTTACTCCGCGTCAGGCTGTTGTCGCGGCCACCGTAGCGCTGCCCACTCACTCATTTTTTATTCCCACAAACTCGTAATCCTCACGCTGTAGATCAGAGACAAAAGTCCGCAGAGCGCTTTCGCTGCTAAAGGTTCATGAGGCGGGGAATCACAGTCGGCGAGGTCACGCGGATATATCACGCCGTAAAAAAACATAAAGGGTTCTCTCACCAACCGACTAGAGGCGAGGGGGCGGGCACTCGGAATTTATGTCCAGAATCACCCACTGTACCCCTCGTAGACCTAGCAACAGAGTCCGGTCGGAGTTTCTCTCATTTCTTTGAGCCGAGACGACGAGAAAAAAGCTCTCAGGGAGCGCTTCCGGAGAACGAACACTCTAGCTCAGTCCGCGGTGAAAATCTTCCTCCGACCTTCTGCCCGTCTGGATTTATCCTGCGAGAGACTCGACGTCTCTGCTACTCAGTCAGGCCACTGGAGCGCTGACCTTACGACGAGCTCAGACTGCCCCCAAGGTGGCACAGGTACATAATTCGACGCGATCTGCGACAAGGTCAGCCAAATAGAACGCAATCTGATTATCATGGGGAAGCGAAAACAGCAACCGCTACGATATTCGGACTTACGTCTTCTTTTTGGGCGACGCGACGGTCCGCTCAGTATCGCGTAAGCAAGTATTCGCGGAAATCTTTTTCCCGACCCTGAAGCACGTGATCGACTCGCGGTCCTGCGACAGGAGAACTCCGAGCACCAGATATGCTGTCGGGAGAGGGAGCTGGATTAGTATACAGCTACCCCGTCGGTGAGTGATTGATTTCGTTGCGACGGAATGTAAATTATTCGAGTCAACAAGAGCTTGCCCGCGGAACTCCCGCGATCTCGTTCATCTAAGTGAGTTCGGCACTGCGAAAATTACTCAGCAAGGTTTCTTGCACTTGATCCCCTTGTGCTCAGCCGCATCAGGCTTTTCGACGCAGATCCCGCATAAAAACCCGGACAGTGTTTCGCTGTGAGCCACCGCTGTTCTCGATCCGAACCAGAAGGGGGAAGGCTGTACGGCTGTTCGGACCGCTCCGTGTGCACTTGAGGCGCACTGTTCGAGAAACGTACAATCTAGCTCTTGATCTGTACAAATGAGATTTGGGCGTTCGCATTGGCGCGGATCGTCAAGGGGCCGAAATTGAATTTCGGGTAATTTCTGCACGAGGAGCTCGGAGCGTTCCGAAGAGCCCGTTGGAATCGACGGAGCTCTAGACGCCGAACAAACTGACATCACTTATACGTATTTCCAGCCGACAAGTGTAGCCGTTCAATACGAAACATGAAGTCTGCTAGAACGATGAAGTTGTTCGGAGATCGAATGTTTCCGAGTCCGTAAACCTTGAACGCTCGTTCCGAATGAGCTCCATTTCGGTACGGGTTTTGGGAGCGGAGGACAGGCAACGATGTCGGATCGCTCGAGGACGCATTGTTTGAACAAAGGCTGTTCGCTGTCGTGAGCCAAGGAGAAGATGATTGATCCGAAAATGTAAATTCAAACGCCGGACAAGGAAGCCGCGAACACAACGCTCCGAATAATAATAATAATGTTCGGTGTTTGTTTGTCAATTGCAGAAATCGTCGAGCTCGTCTCCGTCGGGATCGAACGACTCCGCTCGTTCGAATCAATCGTACCGGGATCCTTTGTACGGTGACGACAGAGGTGCATGAATATCGACATGTCCGAAGCAGTGAGGTAAGAATCGACTTTATCCAAGTACAATGGGATCGTTCCACAGAGAACTTCCCCGAGGTTCATATCTCTCCAGAATTCCGAGCGAGCAAGACTCGACAGTGAGGTCATTATGACGCCCATCTGGAGGCCCTCGGATAGTCTTCCAAAAATTTTGAAAGTGATCCGCTCCATCCAAGGATGGAGGCAGTTTGGCTGAAAGTCTGTATCGGGCGAGCCATTATTCTGCGTCGGCGGTGACACATGCGACGGATAAGGGGCTATCTAAGCATATGTACATGTCCTCCTCTGCCCTTCCCTTCCGTTTCTCCCTCTTTCTCCCGCTCCATTCTACTTTATGAAGACGTTGTTCCTGAAAACAATTTTCTGTGCGGGTCCGCGCTCCTCGAGATCCGGATGAGTGGCAGCGTCAAGTCCCTGAATCTCTCGAGTCTTCTGCGCCCGTTCGGGCACCGTCGGTTCCAATCTGGCTTAGACTTGCATGCCTGGATCACGGAAGCAAATATAGACCTTGGGCGAGGAGAATACTGACCGAGGCAGTCGACTCGTTTAGGCCGCAGACAATCGTTGTCGGTGCTTTGTCTATGTGAGCATTGTGGTCACTAATAGAGTTCGCTCTAGCAAATGAGGTATCGACTCGATAAGCCGCCGGGAACGAGTTTGCCGTCTGTATGGAATTGGCATCATTGATTCCTCTGCCCGGCGAGAAGTGTCACACTGGTCTCCGGCCTGGTCCGAAGCCGTAAGAATATCAAGAATCTATTCCCTACGCGAGGGATCTCATTTGGATCGATCGCTCCGCGGAGATATTCTTCGGAGAGGAGCCCGTGCATCCGTCGACTCGATGAGCAATCGGCGCGACTGTCTCAGAAAAGAATCTTACGAGAAGATTGCGGTCTCTCGGAGTCTAGACGAATCCTGAAAATTCTCGATAAGAATTCAGCACCAGGTGGGGCTAGATTTATCTCGGTGGAGACACAGCATTCAACAGAGGCATTAACGTTCCCATGGCAAGTCCTGAGGATTACTCGTGGGAGGAGATTCACTGCGGGGGTCCCACGCGTAATGAGTATTTACTACGATCTAGAGTATCCTACGTCTCGGATTAGAGGTCTCTTTGTTTCTCGCAGAGCCATAGACACATCTCCCTTCTGCTGGAAGGTCTCGCTGTCTCCATGATAAACTTTCGCCGCCACAGAGTCCAGCTCGCCGGTCTAGCCCCTCGTCTAAAATTGAGTTCTCGCAGCGTCGCGCCACTACCTAATGGAAGCGAGGCGGATCTGCTCGCCTAGTTCTGCATCGGTCATGGATAGCTGTTCCTCGCAAGCCCATTCTGACGGGGGTGTTCCTGCCCTCTCTGTCTCCGCTGACGCACTGCGCTCACGCGAAACGAGACGCCTCGAAGAATGCCGAGACGATTCGGAACCTCTCGTTCTCTGTCTGCAATATTCTCTCGTCTCCCCCGAACATGCGGTACCCGTGCTGCGATTTCCAAATCGCCGACGACATCGAGCTGGTCATTGCGATACCGGCGTATGTCACAGATCCAAAACAGATGTGAACGTCGGCCTCAATCGATTTTTTGCGTCTCGAATCGTTGCTATGCTCTACCATCAACGTGGTTTTTGCAGTGAGCCCCACGCGATAGCAGAAGCAGACAAAAGCAAGGCAGATGGCTCGTCCGCTCAAGATGACACCGCAGTCCAGCAAACCCCGGGGGAGCAGACGGAAGACAACGTGAGTTGCGTCTGATGATTTCGAGCTTTTCATTTTTCAAACAGTCGCGTGGAGGATCCGAAATAGAGGAATGAGTTTCCCGAAATTTTCTTCGCATCAATGAGAGGGGTAATGGCGAACGAAATGCGCCTAACTTTGAAGAGAATATAAAATTCCTTTCGCTGACGGCTCTGGTCGGTCTCAAGTCCAACGCATTTCCGAGGGGGTAACAAATGGAAAGATGAAAGAGCTTAGCTCGGTGACGTCCATCCATCCTACCATCAAAAACCCATTTGACCGAACGCAGGTGTGTGCACATACGTCTCGCGTATCACGAAGGCAAGCCGGGTCGTGTCATACTGGCGTTGCTCCTCGTTCGGAAGAGCGTTCTTCTCTAGTGCAGCGATCGAACTATCAGTGTCCACGAACTGTTCCCTCCGAGGCGTTGATGTCCCATCCAGAAAAGCGTCGTTCATGCTTATCATGGGTTCCTGGAGCTTGGGTCCGTAACATTCGAGATTTCTTCCACAGGACGATGTCTCCGATATCAACTTGAAAGATCCCGAATTGGAGAAAGTGGCGCTGAAAATGCAATCAAAATTCCGCTTCAAGAAGAAGTAATCTCCGGGAAGGAATCGCAGACAATCGACTTCGCAGGATTGTACCAAGAACAGCTCGAAGAAAACTGCGGGCAGGGTCGTTCCGGAATCCACGGGCTATTTTCACGGAAATAGAGAATCTCGCTCCGAGCGTCCTCGTGAATTCATCTTGGATTATTACAAGTTGGGACGTTCGAGAATAATTCTTTCTTACCGCGGCACATCTAGGTCCCATGATCGGTCCGAGCTCGGTGAACACAGCTTGGGCTGGGTCGCATTCAGGAGCTACGTTGAGAATACTCTTGGACGCGAACTCTACTACTTGCAACTCTCCGGATCCTACGCAGCCGCTCATCGAGAGTGGATGGTGATCCAGGGTAAAATGGCATGGCGTAAGAGATTTCACCGGACGATGTCTGTGATTTCTATGAGGTTTCCGAAAGCGAAATCTCTCGACCTGCCTAATCCTGCTCTAGAATAAATTCGAAGTTTTGGGTGCCCTCGAATCGTTCTCCATCGACGTCTTTCCGGAAACGTAGAGAACCGCAGATTCGAGCCGCAATAAAGAATATTCTGTGGGAATATTCAAGATTGGATGCCCGTGAAGCTCTCGACCTTGAGATCACATCTCGGGTCCTCTCAGGTCCGTCTATCGAAATAGAGATCTGTCCTAGACCGTCGTGAACCTTTCCAGATGTCGTATCCCTCAGAGACTCGGACGATTGCATTTCGAAGGGAGCTTCACCCGCAGGAGGACTTCGTTTCCATCGAGTTCGCAAGCGGGGCCATCGCAGAGAAACACAAGGCGGGAAACGACAGAGAGAGATGCTCGGTGGTCTGATGTAAAAAAACAAAGTCTTAGGCTCATTTCCGCGTGTTGCCACGTCGCGTCTCGAGTTCCCGGACTATTTTTCCCGATTTCAAGTCTTTCTCCTGCTGGAGGACCATTGCAGAGAGCTCGATTCCCACGGGACCGACGCACAAATTCAAACATGAGTTTTTCTCTGGATGTAAGATGTCTGACAACCAGAAATGGCGGCTCCAGGGCAAGATCGTGAACAATTGATTGTGATGCCATTCGGTCACTTCATGGCGGAGAAACTTCTTTCAGGCTTCGGAACGCACTGCTCAGCGGGATTTGGATCTCGGCCAGAAGGAGCAACGAACTCAGTGACGAATAATAATTTTTAAAAAGAAGTTTCTTCATCTTGAAGCGGACGTTCCCAGTTTGCTCTTTCCTGACTCAGCGAATAGACTCGTCGAATAGACAGGACCTCCCGGGACGTGTTGCATCGAATCAGCTAAGCGGAACTTGCTCGAGAGAGAGGGCACCTTCGAACTATACAATGGCTCTGGGCACGGCAGAACGACCGCCTTCCGTCCACCGGTCTATCTATCCGGTCCTCCGTCGTCATTCCCTCATTGTTTTGCGATGTATTCGACAACAAACAGGCCCTGTTTTTTCGTCGGGTCGAGCGACCTCTTGCTCATTAGGGTCGTGAGGCAGGGAGGCATTCATCCATAATGTTGTCGCGGATTGTCGAAGGAAGCTTGTAATGTACGATAGCGCGCATGACTATTCTATGGAATCGTGGATCATTCTGTTGGATCGATCGCTGGATATCAAGCGCTAGTGCATGGAAGAATGAATTCATCGAAGGCGAACGACTCAAGCAGAGATGTCACGCAAAATCAGTTTGAACAAGCATCATTTGAACGAGCGTTGAGTTTACTAGTCCTGAAGCATCTCACGAGACTTTGAATTCAGATCGCAAGACTTCGAGCGGGCGAGAGTGAAGAGGCAAGGCGCGCCAAGCTCCGCTCGGCGAATTCTCCCAGAGCTCAACTTCACGGAACATTGCTCGTCGAACGAAACTCGCGCATCGGAATCGCGAATGCTTGCCCCACATCGCGCGGAGATCGCTAACACGAAGCCGCTGGCCGAATGGTACCGGATAGTTTTCCTGAATTCGAATCTCGCTCCGAAAAATGTTTTCTGGTCGAAACGTCGACGACTCCGGTCGCCATTCGAAGCTACAGAGAACGGAAGTTGAGGTATCGTTCCTTCCTTCGACACGCGGAGTCGCAAACCACTTCAGCTCCCTTCAAGGGCGGGAACGGTGGCAGCTCACGAGATGGCTCACCGAAAATTTTGGTCCCGACACGTCCTGCACTTAATCGCTGCCTGTTCCAAAGTTTTGCGTGCATGCAAGTGAGTCCTAGTGTGGGAAATCTCCGTCTACGTAAAATTCCATTTCCCTAATGAGGCCATAGCGAGCAGAATCGTATTCCGGAACTACATAGAGCATGAGTGTTCCCGTTGTGATTCAAGGAAATTACGCTTTCTCTCCCAGAGGGGCTGGCCGAGCTAGACCACGTAAACAAGGAGAAACCTTACTCTCCCGGAGCTACTTGATTCCACCGCACAGCGTTCGGAGAATCATGAGCTCGAGAGGTTGGGAATTCTAACCTGAGCCAAACGAACGAAGCGGAGATGAATAGACTACCGGCTCGTTTCTTCCTTCCACAATTCAGCTCAAGTCCGTCTCTTGGGATTTGCCGAGTCACGGGCTCGTATTGCGTTTTTAGAGAGTCTCCTGAGTTGGCAGATTCCGGCCGGCCGGGAGAGGCGGCCGGCGCGGCGTTCCAGCCGCCGCAGCAATATTGCGAAAATATTAGATTTGACTCGCTTCGTTAGAGAAACCGGCGGGTAGGTTTCCCCCGTCGCCATCTCCGCCACGCCAAACTCCGGGCCTAATCCACCTCCGGGAAGCGTTGAGACTTGATTAGACTTATCGTCGAAAGATGTGGAAGGAAACCTCCCCCTTGTATATGGATGTGGCCCTAGCCAGAATGCACTGGGTTCAAGCCTTATGGCTAGGGATGTGAATTTTTCGCGGACCGCCATTTTTCCGCGAATATTCGCGGAAATTTCCGGCTACTCCCCATAGAGTTTCGATGGAGGCCGCGAATTTGCGCGAATTCGGCGGATATTTTCCGCGAAAAATTTACATCCCTACTTGTGGCCCAATTGGACTGGAGAGCGCTACTTTGTTTCCTCGCTTCGCTGAAGTTCAATTAAGCTGCGATTTACCGAGAGGGGATAAAGAGCCGAGAGTTTTGCTTAAGGGGTCGATTGCGATGCACGCCGGGAACGGATTCCCCTCTCGGTTGATTCCCGGAGAAGACTTCCCTCATCGTGATTCGCGAGCCGGGAATGCGTCGTGGGACAACAACAACCCCGCCCGGCTTTTCGGGGGGGAAGAAGTCGCGTCTCTGGCAGGGAATCGTGAATGACAAGATGATCCAATATCGTAGGATATTGAAGATCCATTCAGATGCGCCTGGGAAATCGCTCAGAAATATATTGCTCTTTGCTCTGTCTATCTGCTCGAGAGTCTCATATGTGACCTCGTTCGCGGATCATCCATTTGCTCGAACGATAACGCTCAGGAAGCACTCTCAGACATCATACGTTTCTTGCGTGATCCGTTCCATTCGTCACGTGTAGCTTCAGAGCGAAAACTTGGTAGTAAAAATTCCTGCAGCGGAAATGGAGGCTCCTTCGAAAACCTCTTCAGCCCCGATCCGTGCACAGGAGGAAATCTCACTGTGGTCTCAATCGATTCGTTTGCGAAATCCTAGAGCGATCCGACCTCCGACGCCTTTGTCAGCCACCGGCTCGTCGGCGGAACAAAAACGATCAGCGGCTGCTACGACTCTATCTCCGATGTTTAGGGATCGTTCCATTTATTTCCCTTTCGGAGCTTTGTCAAAGGTTGTCTCCCTCCAAAAGTAGAAAAAGAAAAGTATAATAAATGATCCGATTCTGCCGCAACCTGTACCCGTCGGCGACCGCCACGGGCCAAGACGGTTGGCGAGAGCGTGACTTGCCCTGAGGGGAATGTGCAAAGCTGATAATGATCTCGCCGCCGATCAGACTCTGGAAGCTTTTGCTAGCGTATAATGTCAACGTTCGAACCGACATTGTGCGATATCAGATTCTGCGGGAGCAGTCATCCGAAACTTCAGGACGCCAGTCGCGCTGTTCAAAGCTTTTAGATCACATACGGGTCATCCGGAACGGAGAAACCGATAAGCGTTGAGGGATCCGATGAGAGTCCCGTCTCCTCCAGGGATCTTCGAGCGGTACTCGAGTTCACGGAGCTTTTTCTCAAAGAAGTTGAACGTGATTCCGTCCGCATCGAAGCTTCGCTTTCTCTCCTTACTCCGGCTCCCAGCGACGTAACCTTGGGTTGGCAATTCCCAGAGAAATGCTGCCGTCACAGACAGAGCTCGGCGAGCGGAGGAGCATCGAGCTACTTAATATGTAGTCTTCCGTCTACTCCGGCTGTTTTTGTTGCTTACAAAACGCTTCTTCGGGAGCGATCTTCCGCATGTTCTCCCCGCGACCTTGTCCCTCCGAGGAAATAGAAGTCGCAGCTCGAGCTCCTGATTTCCCAAGGGATCGAGGACAGCTCCCAAAGTAAGCGAAGTACCCGGAGGGGTTGCAATCAATCATGCCCTGCCGCCTAGACCCCTTAGTCTATCGCACCTCGGTAGGCGCTTCCAATATCCTGAGAAACATGCGAATGGTTTAGGGGGGAGGAGGACTTATCCGCAATCGAAAGTTCCTCGACGCAGCCATTCGAGGCGCGTCACGAATTTCGTGTCATTGTGAGAAAATCATCGTTGAGCCTCGCCCCGAATCGGGACCCCGATCGTCATCGCAAGTCCCGACTTCTGCATCAGAAATCAGAAGAAGGATCGGTATTCGGTGAATGAGGGCATCGCAGCGCTCCACCATCGAGATAGGTATACAAGTTCGTCCTGGAAAACTGTGCATGCCTGTGTTTCGGAAAAAAAATCTTCCGCTTCCGGCTGTTTCATCCTGTCCATAACTTCCTTTCGTCTGCATATCTGACATGAGAGGAATTCCCCTGGTCTTCGGGAAATGAGAGCATTTCAGGTCTACAACTTTCTCCCTGGTTCCGCCTACCAGGGAGGAGACGGAGGAGGACATCGTTTTCCGAGCGACTGAGAGGAGCCCGTCTTTCCTCGATCCCCTGGAGGAGCTAATTCATCAGATTCGATCGAAGGTGCTCGTCAATGAGACGAAAGGAAATGATTCGCAAGGTCGATTTCAATCGAGATCATCGCAGCTCACCTCCTTCAAGGAATTTTGGCACGCGGAATGTCTGCCAAGACAACTCTATTGTCGCGAAACATCTATCTTGCGATCGGTTCGACTTTCCTTCGACGACACTCCATTGACGAGCTCTCGGAAATGAGGAAATGATCCAAACTTTGCTCCTTCCCGGCATACGATCATCGAGTCTGAGAATTGTGCAGGTACATTGAGGTCGAGGAGCGTCGAGCTAACACAGGGAGCCTGACATACTTGCTGGGTTGCTTTACGCACTGATTATCGGCCTATAGAATGATATCGCTCATTTTCCTAATTGAGGCCTTCCTCATTC